AAAATGTGGCACTGACTCGCCCATGGATTGATGTTTCAGTATTGTCTCAATCAGTGGCGATTTTAGCATGTAAATCTTGGTGGAGCAAACAAAACAAAAAAAGTGGGATGTATGCCAGCAAACCACTACACAACAAAACACTAAACAATACATGAATTGCACTAGAATGGTGACAAACGGCGCCCACAAACTGTTAGGGCCTACATAAAGCTGTCCCAACAGCAGAGTCCCAACAGCAGTCCCAAAATTTTACCACTGCTACACCTGGCTATCAGCGCAGCCTTGTCTGGCAGCGAAACAGTTCATTCAGCCTCATTTACTGCCTTAAAAAAAACATAGCTGATATGGCTGACTTGCTTAAACAAATGTGGTTGCCTGGTATGGCAACTGCTCGGCCTCAGACCACAAGGCACTACAGAGGGTAGTGCGTACGGCCTAGTACATCACTGGGGCCAAGCTTCCTGCCATCCAGGACCTCTATACCAGGCCCAGAGGAAAGCCCTAAAAATGGTCAAAGACTCCAGCCACCCTAGTCATAGACTGTTCTCTCTGCTACCGCACTGCAAGCGGTACCGAAGCGCCAAGTCTAGGTCCAAAAGGCTTCTTATCAGCTTCTAAACTTCTACCCCCAAGCAATAAGACTCATGAACAGCTAATCATGGCTATCCGGACTATTTGCATTGTATATAGCCTCCCTACTGTTATTTTATTTTACTTCTGCTCTTTAATAAAAAAAATATTTTTGACTCATCTATTTTTTACTTAACACTTATTTTTCTTAAAACTGCATAGTTGGTTAAGGGCTTGTAAGTAAGCACTGAATGACGGGTCGCCACTGGTCTCAATTGAGATTTCGCTGTTTGACTAGCCATGTCCGGCATGCGTTAGCGGCAGGCGGACCCGCAATATCCAACAATGTAGTGAGCTACTGATGAAGCCTGAGCTGGAATGTGAAGCTAAGTGAAGCTAGCTAATTTAATTAAGAAAAGCCTGCCCACTGGGCACATAATCAGTTCAACATCTAGTTTTGATTAAAATGTAGATGAGTTGTCAACTAATGTGATTTGAACTTGGAATTAACAAAACATGTCACCATGTCATTGGATATATGTTAACAGTTTGGTGAAAAAAATACGAAATTCACTTACCTTCATGACTTTTGTCAAATCCAATCATTTTTCCAAGTTGATTCAACATCATCACATTTAATTTTTTTGATAAAATGACGTGGAAAAAAACATTGATTCGACCAGTTTTTCCCCAGTGGGTGGGTACATCTAGCTATTTGAAGCCTTGAACTTCAATGGCTTCAATGAGAGGGGGTAGTTGTTCTCCCTGGTTTTGCTCCACATTTAGGCCTAATAAGGTTTATCTAATGTTCTATGCACAAAAATATCCCAAATTCTCTCTCATGGCATAAACTGATGGATGGTCTGATGCACTTAAAGAAAAAAAGTTTTTATTTAATCTTGGTTGTCACGCTATTTTTGTGTAATTATATATAACTCATTTTTGCATAGAAATCGAATTATTCATTGAGATATAAATTAGATTCCACATTGAGTGCGACCGGACTCCTGCAGAATCCTATTGAATTTTCTCCTACTGGCTCTTTCGCTCACTCTCTCTTTTTCTCTGAAACCCATGAGATGGAGAGTAGCCACTGCAGCTGCTATTCACATTTACGAGGTAATTGTTAATGAAAAGTCACTGCATGCCATTATGTTGTCCGCAGGATCATTGTTCATTTTCACATCGCCATTGAAACGATATTGAGGACCCGAGTGTTTCTATTCAGTTTTGGTATTCAGGATCTGTTGCCTGGTTACTAATAAAGGGGGAAATCACCCACTGTATTGGCCAAGATGGGCCGCAAGCCGGCAGTGTAACAATGCAACTTTTGTAAAAAGGCGTTGATACAAGTTAATGACGCTTGTTCAACAAAACATTAACGGACTTGTTCACGGTATCAGACTGTGAATGAGAGGGACTGCCTCAGCACTGCACTTTAACAAGTGTGTGTGTTTTTGTTCCTGAGAAACTCAAAGCACTGTGTCCACTCCACACACACACACACACACACACACACACACACACACACACACAGACACACACACACACACACACACACCACACACACACACAAGTAAATACGTGGTTTATTTTCCCACTAAGAGGAAAATATCAACTGCTAATCTGTGTAGGACTAAGCAGTGTGTATTCATTCCTGAAGTGTGATTTATTAATACTCATTTGATCTTCATTATAATGAATGGGTACATGATTAATTGTCACATAAACATGACTTGAATGGGGCTGTCTGCAGTAACTGCTGGATTATGAAATCGTTTCCTCACAACATGGGAGAGGGAACTCATTGCAGTGGGGCCCTCGGAGCTTTGTGTTTTTCTGACATTCTTTTCACTCGGACGTTTTAAAGCGGGCAATTTGGTAAAGGTCCCGTTTGTTGCACCCGCTTTTTAACTGACGCGGACAAAGCTGTAGGTAGTCCTGTCACCCCGAGCAGAATAAAAAGAATCAAAGGATTTTTCCCTTAAATTGACTAATTTTCTCGTTGAATTGTGAAAGTAATGGCAAGGTAATAGCCTGTGCTCTGTACCTAACGGCTTAATGCCTACTAAACCCTTCCACGTGGCTCAACTAGTCGTGGCAATTAGAGCTCATTATAGACTCATAAAGGATCTATTTTTTTGGGAATACTTAATAGACAATGACATTTTATCGTGCATTATTCTGGAAAAAATAATATTAGAGCGAAGATGGTGTGATGAGGGCGTGCGCCACACATCATTCCGGCTGGTTTGTTCCCTCTCTCCCTCCCTCTCTCTCTCTCGCTCTCGCTCGCTCTCTTTCTTTCTTTATTCTCTCTCTCTCTCTCTCTCTCTCTCTCTCTCTCTCTCTCTCTCTCTCTCTCTCTCTCTCTCTCTCTCTCTCTCTCTCTATATATATATATATATATATATATATATCACTCTCTCTCTATATCACTCTCACTCTCTCATCTGAAACGGTTCTCCGTACCATAACAACCCATAGCGCCTCTCGTGTCATACGCTCTGTTCACTTTATTATAGCAATTACAGTCTGCGTGACAGACGTGTTTGTTTTTTGTCATTTATTCCTGCTTAAAGTCATATTCTAATTCATTTAAAGATGCCAATTAAATTCGTATCAGCACTGGTCACCCACTGGTTGCTCCCCCAAATTAGCAGAACAACACAGACAACGAATTGACCATGTGCCCTTCCCCTATAAGACTAACTTACACGTAGAACAAAACAGTTATAAACCCCACAAAAATATAATTATATGATCTTGGAGATATAGTTCCACTGGAAATTGTGTAGCCAAAGTGGTGCAGTTTATAGTCAGTCCAGTTTGACCTCAATATTGCAATCCTTAAACTGAACTCTTGTAGCTTGTAGGCCTACTTGTCCTTTGTTTGATCAACAGACTTAATAGATGTTTGCACATGTAATGTTTGCGCCATTAAAACTGGCAAACGGCGCGCGCTGCTCGCCTCCCTGCGCTCTGTCTGGAGGTTCGAGGCGTTAGTAAGCAGATGAAAGTAGAAGCTAAACCCACTGGTGACTCAACCGCCTGGAGATCAAACTCGCTAATTATTGTCACAAGATAAGGGATTAATGCATTTCTGAAATAGATACCTGTTTACCCGGCAGAACAAACACCTTCTAATTTAATCCTAATCACTATCAAATAGGCACAACCCAGACGGCAGGCATTCATAATTCTTAAAAGCTGGACCTGAAATCTTTACCAAAAGGATGCATGCAGGGTATGATTATCCTGCAATTATTAGTCCACATAGTTATGAGACTTACAACCTTAAATAGCATTTCCACAAACAAACTTTCCCAAATAAAGTAGGCTTATGCTTATTGTCACCATATACAAGGCTTGGGCAATGCAATTATGTTAATTATACAGTAATTATCTAAGCATAATTTGCTCATTAATTGGGATTTTGAATAAAACGAATAACCAACACTGGAGGCATTAAGATGGTTTGGATCCCTGCTAATAGAGAGCTCATTGTTTACAGTGTTATGGACGATCAAGTCTGTGGTTATACAGTACCAGAATTATAATTCGTTTGGAAATTTCACCCATAGCCCTAAGGCAACTGCTCACATTCTAGAAGATAATGCAGGTTTTTTGTATCGCAGTTTGCTGAGAGCTATATTCAGAGGCTGAAGATTGATATGATGATAGAGGTTGGTATTGTGTTCGGGGCTTTTCAACTCCAATAGGCTATTGCAGATGTTTGTGATTAATTTTTAGTTATAGACCTACTCTTATATAAATAGATGTCGCCTATCGGTCAAGTTCACCTTTGAATTGAGCATGAACATGTGTAGGCCCTACAGCCAATTTTTTGGAAAAATCAGAATTGACAATATAGGTCAAATGCATTGTCTCACAGTTGCTATTTTTTAATCAAGGCAACTGAAATGAAACTAACATTCTAATCAGATTATGTTAAAATATGAATTTTTATGTTTTAAATATAATTGTCCTTATAATGCTCAAATTACAATTGCGGACTATGCAACACTGCATGGACTATATTGCAGAAGATTTGCGCACTATTGTCCCAGGCAGCTAATGATGCTAGATAAATATTGCTTTGCTAACTAACTTTGCTAACTCACATTATGTTTTTTGTGTGACTTGGTATTAACATGGCTTTTCATTTGGGGTAAAATGAGCGAATGTGGAGATTTTTATTGGAAGTTCTCTGAGGCATCGCGTGGTTTTGCAGAAGATCCTACTGAAGCCCTTGAAGTCGGGTGCGCGAGCCGGGTGCGCACGTGGGTGACGCTAGGGCCAGCCCTCTCCGGGGTCCCTTTTGTTTAACTATCAAACATAAGCACCTTCCGAGATCCCGAGGGCTTCAGATGAGAAACGGCCAACATCTTGTGCAAGGAGCAATACTGACCGCTTATCGTTCTGCAGCCATGTCTAGGTCATTTTATGTCGACTCTTTGATTATCAAGGACACGTTGCGACCCGTACCTCTTAACGAGCATCCGCGACAAGACTTCCTCATCCCCATCAGCTTGCACTCGCCCACCATGATGACGGTCACCGCGCCAGTGTGCCCGTCCAGGAAAAGCGGCACTTTCTGCGTCTGCCCGCTTTGCGTCACGTCCCACCTCAACTCTCCCCGCAGCGGCATTTCGATGCTGAAGAGTCAGTTCCCGAGAGCGGAGCCCCAATATTGTCAGAGGATATCACACCACCAACAGTCTCTGGCACTGGCGCACCCGTCTGCACGCCCTGTCTGCATGCCTGTCTGCAAGCCAACGTACAGCGTCACAGACCCCATTAGGTTCCACTGTCTCTCCATAGGTAAGACTATGTGGTCTCTGACCACCTGTATCTGCAATATAACGCAATATAACAACCAGTCAATTCAACCTTTGAAATTAGAGCGACATATTTTAATTGAACCACTACATAATGTTTGTTAGTTCGTTAGTCTATCCAATTACGCACAATTACGCACAGTAAAACCAATGCCATTTCTTGCATAAAGCATGTACTGCAGTGTTAGAAATGTTGAATAGACCTATAATGTTTGGCTAAATCGTTGTCCTGTCTCCATCAGGCGCCTCTGAGAGCAGTCACATCCAGAATGGCAAGAGGATGCGCACAGCTTTCACCAGCACGCAACTATTGGAACTGGAGAGGGAGTTCTCCTCCAACATGTATCTTTCTAGGCTCAGAAGAATCGAAATAGCAACGTATCTGAACCTCTCGGAGAAACAGGTGAAAATCTGGTTCCAGAACCGGAGGGTGAAACACAAGAAGGATGGCAAGGGCACACAGAGGGGCGCGCACAACGGTTGCAAGTGCGCAAGCGGTCACACGGATTACCCGAGGTCTGAGGACGAGGAATCTCTATCCCCTGCATCAGCGTCAGAGGAGAAACATATATCCCCAATCTGAGGGCAGCTCAGACTGTCACTGTGCAGACTTCCATTACGTTACTGGCACTTAGTCTACCATGGTTCATCACGAATTCTGCAACACCAGACGACCTCCGGGCCATGAGATGCTACTTCCTGTCTGAGAATAACTATTGGAAATATCCTTGGTTTCCCCTGGTCAAATGATGTAGGCCTATTTGTACGTTCATTTTATGTTAACTGTCCAATATGAACAAATTGTGAATACATGTTTTATTTGTTGAAACATAAAAAAATAAGTGATGTTAAATCCTTCAGGGTTCAAACCAACGTCAACGTTGTACATCGTCAGTGGTTGTTATACAATGTTTGATTTCATTCTTATCAGTGTAAATATGATGGCTGTTGATCCACTCTGTTTCATTTCTTATTTTTCCACGTGAAATTGTATGTACATAGTAGAATATTATGTATATAATATGTATATTTGTATTTATTCTAATAAAACATTGTTGAGTTGTATCTCAGACAAAACATTTTAATTTTTATTTTAAGGGTTGGCATGGTGGATCTTTGATGCAATCCTTACAGGCTATCTGTATAGCATATTTGTAGAGCTTTTGTGTTTGATATATTCGTCAAGAAATCAACGTTTAGTCTGTATTTTGAGTAAAATGTTAATTTAATATATAATTACACACATTTTATCATGAGACCATTTCAAAGAGCATATTGGACGTCATCATAGGCAGGTGACCAGAGACACTAAGATGAACAGTATTAGATTCCCATCCACGTTGACATTAATTTACAGCCTGAGGAAGATACTCTAGTACAGGGATCATTAACTAGATTCAGCCGCAGGCTGATTTTTTTATTGAGTGGATGGTCGTGGGGCCGGAACATAATTACAAATAATTTGTAGATTACAAATTGACCGCAAGAAGCCCAAACATATACAATGTTAGATTAAAACATAACCATTGCTTACATTGCTTACATTTGTATATGATCACGTCTCTCTATTAAGCGTGGGAATACTTGGGAACAGATTTGCAAAATAAAAATCAGTTGGAGCTGATTTCCTGTTGTTTTTACAGTCTTTATAGTTTATTTTTGTACTCAGAAAACCCTGTACACTGAGTTTACAAAACATTATGAACACCTGCTCTTTCCATGTCATAGACTGACCAGGTGAATCCAGGTGAAAGCTATGATCCCTTATTTATGTCACTTGTTAAATCCACTTCAATCAGTGTAGATGAAGGGGAGGAGACAGGTTAAAGAAGGATTTTTAAGCCTTGAGACAATTGAGGCATAGATTGTGTATGTACACCATTCAGAGGGTGAATGGACAAGACAAAACATTTAAGTGCCTTTGAACGGGTATGGTAGTAGATGCCAGGTGCACCGGTCTGTGTCAAGAACTGTTTTGTACACTCAGTGTAATCTATACTTCTTTTAAAAAGATCAAGAATAGATGGATGGTTTATAATTCTTTAAATTATTCATCTGTTCCTTGGGCTGCGGTTGGCAGTGCCCATCCCACAGGGTGGTGCTCCTACTCGGGTTAGCCATGTTATTGTGTTCCTCTCTGAGGAGGTTGATAAAGGGGCCAGCAACGAATTCATTCACTGTTAATGAACTATACTGGCACTTAATGAGAGTTCTCTTGTTGTCTATACTTAACAACTCTCTCTCTCTCTCTCTAGCGCTCACTCTCTCTCTCGCACTCGCACACGCACACACACACAAACACACATTCCCATCAACCCCCTCCCATTGTAAGAAGATTAAAGAAAATGTCCAAATGGCAAATTATGAAAAGTATAATAACACATTGGGCTCCCGAGTGGCGCAGTGGTCTAAAGCACTGCATCTCAGTGTTTGAGACCCCCTGGTTCGATTCCAGGTTGTATCACAACCGGCCGTGATTGGGTGTCCCATAGGGCGGCGCAAAATTGGCCCAGCGTCGTCCGGGTTTGGCCGGTGTAGGCCGTCATTGTAAATAAGAATTTGTTCTTAACTGACTTGCCTAGTTAAATAAATAAAACATTGATATAAAGCATTAGAGAAAACTTGCTTACTCAAATGCATAGGTAAGCATAATATAAAATTTGTCATATTAAATAAAAGCCTAAATAAATATGTTTTTTATATTTCCATTTATTTTTAATCGTTGTTATTATTATTAACACCACCATTATTATTATGTTATTATTGATAGCTGGGCTTTATTTGAACAGTAGCTATATAAAGTACTAGGCCTATAATTGATGCTGCCCACAACGCCCTGTCCGGTTAAGCCCCGGGCTTAACCGGGATAATAGACATTTACATTTACATTTTTGTCATTTAGCAGACACTCTTATCCAGAGCGACTTAGAGTTGGTGCATTCATCTTAAACTAGCTAGGCCTCTATCGTCCATTTAATGTTGCTTGTCCAAAAGGAGTTTAATTGCAGTTTCAGTCCCACGTTGGCTGATTATGCTGCAATTCCTTCGAAACCACAGAACAAGGATACATAGAACTGGGCAAAGGCTTTGACAGGTTAGATTGTCCTGCCTTGGGACTCGCATTTAGCAGTGGACCCCCGACGGCTGCAGACTCTGAGGGCTTTGAGGAGACAGCTACAGGGTTCCTCGGAGGGTGAGAGAACGATTTAGTCACTGTTTCATTAAGCACTATTTGAACCTTTCAGTTTATGGTAAATTGAGGGGGCACGCTGTAAATGGAAGGATTACGTAGGAAGAGCGATAGGAAATTAGCTAACGGTTAATTTAACTCGTTTGAGTCGGAGTTTGGGATACATTCCTAATTGAGAAGGGAAGCAGGTGAAGTTTTGGTCCCACGCAGGCCCATTCAGACCAGGAATAAATGGTCTCTTTTCACATCCCGCTGGTGATCATATATTATTGAGGGAAAGCCACCTAATGAATATATATTGAAGTTCCTATTAATCGAATTAGAGTTCACCCATTGCAGGTGTGAGAGTAAAAGACACCGGCCCATTAAAACTGATTAACAAAGGAACTGCAGTTTTGGGAAAGTCTCCCCCTTTTCAGACGGACGGCCCCTGACCTCGAACTGTCAGTCCGCTATAATAGCCTGAAGCTCATGTGGATTATACCTTCAGGCCATGGCAGAACTATCTGGGGAGACAAACGAAACTCTCAAAACACCATCATAGTTGTGTAGGCCAGTCGAGTTATTGGCTACAATCAAAAGAAAAGGAATAGCATGAAGCAGTTGTGTAAATTCCTGTGGCATGACTTTAAAAAATGTGCATATTGGCTTAAATCATAATCCGTGATAAACCGTTTTCTCTTTGCCCGTGAAAACCTCTGCTTTGGTCATGAATCTGCAAGTAAACTTAGATTTGACTTAGATTTTTGCTTTGAAGTACAATTTTGGCACTCGATAAATGTGACAACCATCTCTTCTGAGTCCAAGGGCTTCGAGTGGCCACGAATCATCCTGCCCTGCGTAGCATATAGGGCCCAGGAGTGTCCGGTGAGGTGGTGAGGTGCTTGTTTCAAATGATGATGAAACGGTGAATTCTGGACACGTGTCCCATCAATGCTGTCTTTGGTGACTTAATCCAGTGGGATCCCGGTCACCACATAATATATGGCAGGAACTTTTTCCATGCTCTTCATAATATGCCTTTTCTAAAGTGTCCATTATTTTGTTTGGTTAGAGCTGCCTCTTAAATCATCAACTGCATTTAGTGGCTGAATTTATGAATATAGCTCTCCAAATCAGAAGACAACGAACAAAATATGATGATATAGTTGAAATACATTTCAGAAAGCCCAAATTGTAGACCACTGAAAAATAATAATGATAATGATAACAACTTATTTTGATGCAGAGTGATATACTTTAGCTCAAGTGACTTCTGAATAATAATACCACCCAAATAGAGATGTTATAGGCCAATTATTATATTCAGTTGTATTATGATCATAATGGCACATTTCTTTGTGTGTGTAACATAATTACTAATCAATGCCCTACACTGAAAAAAGTAAAGGTTCTTCAATGTTTTTTCCTCACCTGTTAGGGTTCCTTGGAGAACTCTTGCCTGATAAAGAACCTTTGAGTTAAGTGTGGGGTTCTTGACGTGGCATCTATGGTTCTTAAGAATTCTAAAAGGTTCTTAAAATATATGGAAACCTGCAGATCTGTCCCTTTCATAGCACACAGCAAATTGGCCAGTATTCCACACAGGTGTGGTTCCTGAGTTAATTAAGCAATTAACATCCCATGGTGCTTAGGGTCATGTATAAAAATGCTGAGCAGGCCATTGTTTTGACTACCATGGCTATGCCCCCATTAGATGACAATGCCCCCATCCACAGGGCATGAGTGGTCACTGAATGGTTTGATGAGCATGAAAACTATGTAAATCATATGCCATGGCTGTCTCAGTCATCAGATCTCAAACCAATTGAACACTTATAGGAGATTTTGGAGCGGCGCCTGAGACAGATTTTTCCACCATCATCAACAAAACCTACCAGCTCTCACAGTCTCAAGTCAGAATTAGACGTTCATCAATGTTTCTCAAACGGCAATATTCAAAGTATTTAAGGTTAAGGTTAGGCATTAACTCAGAATGGTTAAGGTAAGGGTTAAGGTTTGGGATAGTCTTAAAACAAAAATATAAAAAAACAACTCTCTATCACTGGATTCGAACATGCAAACTTTGGAATCAGATGCAAATTCTTCAAAAACAAAAATATCAAAAACAACTTTCTATCGCTGGATTCAAACTTGCAACCTTTGGAATGCTTACGGCTTTCTGCCATCCCCATCAACAACGCCCTAGCAAAACCAAAACTTACTTGAAGATAACAGCTCTCACTGTTGCCCCTAGTGGCCAGTTTCCACGCCCTCTACCGACATTCTCAGACATGGATGCATTCTCAGACATGGATGGACGTGACCTGGCTGAACAAAACACCAAATGATGGAATTTCTCATGGAAGAATGGTGTAGCATCCCTCTGATAGAGTTTCAGACACTTGTAGAATCTATGCCAAGGTGCATTGAAGCTGTTCTGGCTCGTGGTGGCCCAACGCCCTAGTAAGACACTTTATGTTGGTGTTTCGTTTATTTTGGCAGTTACCTGTATTTCCCAGCATGCTCTATTGCAGGTTGATTTTTAGAATTGTTTGTTTCAATATCTTTGTTTTTGCATGCACATTGATTGATTACTTAATCTTATGCTACTCAAATATAAATATTTGTTCTAAACTATTCCAATCTGTTACATGGACTTTTTGCACCTGTTACTGAAATGGTTGTTCCAGTTTAGATGTTTAAGGTAGTCTCATATCTTAGTCTTCCCAACCCTGGCAGTCATTCTGAATGCAGGTTGCAGGTGAATAAAAATTCAAAATGTTGGATATCCCCACTCTGGCTAGATCCCAATAGGAATTACACACATCACCTTGCAAGAGAGCATAACGTGACTTGCAGGCTTGATGTGGCCTGCAAACTATGAGTTTCAGGCCACTGTATTTGGGTAAAACAAGAACCCTCAAAAGCCTTATGAGATATTTATTGTCTTATAGAATTACATTTTAATGACAACGTATTCACTTAGGATCTCACTTTCACGAAGGCCACAGGACTGAAACAACCATGTCTCTGTCACTAGGAATGTCATGGGTGGTACTGGTAACTCAAAGATTCACTCGTAAGGCACCCTGGGAAATATGCAACTAAGGCTTATAACCCTAAAGCAGGGATATTAAATTCCAGTGTTGGAGGTACAAAACATTTCTGGTTTGGGATTTTTGTATGGTTCGTAAAAGAGCCATTCCATTTATGGTTCTTCAGAGACCCTAAAATGGTTTCCCTATCACTCTCAATAACCTTATTTGGTTCCAACTTGCACCTTTATTTTTAAGAGTGTACTTACAAATGTTCCCAGTTGTTCCATAAAAGGTGCTGGTGTTATTTTATCAGCTAAGCCAGTCATGGTGAATGACAGCTTTACATACAGTATTTACAAAGGAAATCAATTAAACACCCCTTTGATTACAAACGTGGCTGAAGTAGCCCTACGTTTCATGCAACAAGTCATAGTGAACTTATGTAATTGAAGACGGTTCTGTATAACTCCATATGGGCCTCCAAGAATCTGTCCTATATTTATGATGTGTGTATATTATTCAATTTAGTAAATATGAAGCATGGTGGGTTTAGGTATAAGCTTTTGTAGTGGTTCAAAATGTGCACCTTTTACCTAACAAATAGGTTAAAAGGTAGAAAAAAAGGTTTTGTATTTCAGGTTAAAGAAACATGTAAGTTAACATGGTTGTAAAGCAGGTAGGTAAGTTTCATGTTGGGACTTTTTTGTTTGTGATTCATCCCCCTCTGGAAATAACAGTTAAAACTTTGCACCAGTGCAAACCTTGGTAAATCTGGCCCATAGCCCAGTTATTCGTTTTGTGTCAGTCACGTGACTAGGGCCAGGTATGCACTCATAAGTGCACTCCAGGTTGTGGCCTCACTTGAAGGATATATTGCAGGGACGTACATAAACGTCCTAAACATTATCGGTGGGAAAATCTGCTCAATAATGGATACCTCGGGTATTTATGATGGTGGGCGCTTCCAACTGCCGTCACGGGAGGAGTATGACTATAACCCTCCCTCCTGCCGCTACAGCTGTGACACCGAGCAGGTACGGAACCCCATACCCGCTTGTGCCTCTGTCGAACACCATAGTAAGGGGACTTTACTGCCCTACGATCTACCTCCCTGTCAGTACTCGCGCCCTGTTCAGACACAGACCCAGGACCAGGAATACCTGACAGGCCAGGGTCGTGTACAGGACAACTACCATCCAGGAGACAGCCCAGTAGTGGACGGAGAGTCCCCGGGACACTTTCCATTCTCCTGGATGAGGAACTCCAGAGTTCACTCGTATCAATCACTCCCAGGTGAGCAGGCTACTTTATTATTAGAATATTTTTTTATCATCATAATTGTGAAATTGTTCTCTGTTGATTTTTATTAGGCCTACAGTTATGCTTTGAAGCGATTTTGTGTCTTACAGGTGAAATTAAATGGGAGATGAGGGAGCAGAGCAAAGGTTTCACAAATAAAATAAATAGGGTTATACTATAAGAGTAAAAATGCATACAAATCGAGATAAATTAACTGAAAAAAAATAACGACATACTTTGTAACCTTTTTAAGGTGGTTATTCCGAGAACCCAGACCAACACAAGCGGAGCCGCACCGCGTACAGCCGGGCTCAGTTATTGGAGCTGGAGAAGGAGTTCCTCTTTAACAAGTATATCTCCAGGCCTCGCAGATATGAACTGGCCACCACACTCAACCTGACGGAGAGACATATTAAAACCTGGTTCCAGAACCGGCGGATGAAGTGGAAAAAAGAAGAAACGGAAAACAAAACTCTGACCACCACGAACCGGAGTCTTCCAATAACAATTGCTAAAACGTTTGGAGCAGCATGTGACCCTGGGTTTGAAAACCATGCCGGATAATTATTTGCACTTGCCTATGAAATGATATACTGTATGTCATTCAACTTTATAGCCTATGTTAGGCCTATTCTGAGGCTCAATTAACAGTTTACAATTTGAAGTTGCAAGCTATTAAATTATTTATACAGTTAATGTGCATATCTAAGAAATATGTTAAATAGTTGCCAAATTGATTTAAAATATCTAACATTTTAATTAAAATGGATAAGATCACCCATTTGTTTAATTCAGAATGTATTGTCTAATTTATTTTAGACACACAACAGTTGCCAAAAATGATTCACTTGTTTACTGGGTTCTAAACTTGCATGTTATGATAAAAGCATGATAGGCCTGCATTAATTAATTATCCATGTATGAATCAATGCATGATTGTGTTGAATAGATTGAAGTCGAAATTGGAAGTCTATCCATGTCCTGAGGCAACATGGTCTCAGAGCATTTCTTATTATTCTGTACATAAATCCGAGACACTCCATATAGTATAATATGTTACGAATTGCAATTCGTATTATATGTTACGAATTTTCAAAACGTACAATATGCTACGAATTTTCAAAACTTACTATATGTTAAGAATTTGCAAAATGTATGATATGTTATGAATTCTAGCTAGGTGGCTAGGTGGCTAACGTTAGCTAGGCTAGGGGTTAGGGTTAAGGTTAGGGTTGTTTAGGAGTTAGATTAAAGAGTTAGGGGAAGGGTTAGCTAAAAGGGATAAGGTTAGGGTTAGGGGAAGGGTTAGCTAACATGCTAAGTAGTTGCAAAGTAGCTCAAAAGTAGTAAGTAGTTGAAAAGTTGCTAATGAGCTAAAATGCTAAAGTTGTCCATGATGAGATTTGAACTGGCAACCTTTGGGTTGCTAGACGTTTGCATTATACGTTGGGAAATGCCTTCAAAACCGGCCACCAGGGGCAACAGTGAGCACTATTACTATCAAGTGGACGCCGGTGGTGGAAGGGCGCAATCCCGTGACTCTGGATCAGAAGGTTGCGTGTTTGATCCCCAAGCAGGTTACCCGTGATACAACTCTGTATTCGATGTCCATCCATGTTTGAGGACATTGTGAGATGACATGGAAACCAGCCACTAGGGTCAACAGTGAGTGCTGTTACCTTCAATTAGGCATAGCAGATGGGTGTAAGCATTTGCCTCTGCTTACAAAAGTTTCATGTTTGAATCCAGCTATAGACAGTTATTTTAGTTTTAACCATTACCTTAGTTTAACCCTTACCTCACTTAGAGTTAATGCCTAAACTTAACCCTGGAACTATACAGAAAAGTAGACAAACACTTCGACATTTGACATTTTGAATTTTTTGTTTGAGAAACATGGATGAATGTCAAATTCTGACATGAGACTGTGATAGCTTGTTGCACTCCTAGTCGTGGACATCGGTTTGCTATTTTTGGTTTTAACCCAAACCTTAACCCTTACAGTGGCTTGCGAAAGTATTCACCCCACTTGGCATTTTTCCTATTTTGTTGCCTTACAACCTGGAATTAAAATTGATTTTTTGGGGGTTTGTATCATTTGATTTACACAACATGCCTACCACTTTGAAGATGCAAAATATTTTTTATTATGAAACAAACAAGAAATAAGACAAAAAAACAGAAAACTTGAGCGTGCGTAACTATTCACCCCCCCCAAAGTCAATACTTTGTCGAGCCACCTTTTGCAGCAATTACAGCTGCAAGTCTCTTGGGGTATGTCTTTATAAGCTTGGCACATCTAGCCACTGGGATTTTTGCCCATTCTTCAAGGCAAAACTGCTCCAGCTCCTTCAAGTTGGATGGGTTCCGCTGGGGTACAGCAATCTTTAAGTCATAACACAGATTCTCAATCTTTGACTAGGCCATTCCAAGACATTTAAAAGTTTCCCCTTAAACCACTCGAGTGTTGCTTTAGCAGTATGCTTAGGGTCATTGTCCTGCTGGAAGGTGAACCTACGTCCCAGTCTCAAATCTCTGGAAGACTGAAACAGGTTTCCCTCAAGAATTTCCCTGTATTAAGCGCTATGCATCATTCCTTTAATTCTGACCAGTTTCCCAGTCCCTGCCGATGAAAATCATCCCCACAGCATGTTGCTGCCACCACCATGCTTCACTGTGGGGATGGTGTTCTCAGGGTGATGAGAGGTGTTGGGTTTGTGCCAGACATAGCGTTTTCCTTGATGGCAAAAATCTCAATTTTAGTCTCATCTGACCAGAGTACCTTCTTCCATATGTTTGGGGAGTCTCCCACATGCCTTTTGGCGAACGCCAAACGTGTTTGCTTATTTTTTTCTTTAAGCAATGGCTTTTTTCTGGCCACTCTTCCGTAAAGCCCAGCTCTGTGGAGTGTATGGCTTAAAGTGGTCCTATGGACAGATACTCAAATCTCCGCTGTGGAGCTTTGCGGCTCCTTCAGGGTTATCTTTGGTCTCTTTGTTGCCTCTCTGATTAATGCCCTCCTTGCCTGGTTCATGGGTTTTGGTGGGCGGCCCTCTCTTGGTAGGTTTGTTGTGGTGCAATATTCTTTAAATGTTTTAATAATGGATTTAATGGTGCTCCGTGGGATGTTCAAAGTTTCAGATCTTTTTTTATAACCCTGCCCTGATCTGTACTTCTCCACAACTTTGTCCCTGACCTGTTTGGAGAGCTCCTTGGTCTTCATGGTGCTGCTTGCTTGGTGGTGCCCCTTGCTTAGTGGTGTTGCTGACTCTGGGGCCTTTCAGAAGAGGTGTATATATACTGAGATCATGTGACAGATTATGTGACACTTAGATTGCACACAGGTGGACTTTATTTAACTAATTATGTGACTTCTGAAGGTAATTGGTTGCACCATATCTTATTTAGGGGCTTCATAGCAAAGGGAGTGAATACATATGCATACACCACTTTTCCGTTATTTATTTTTTAGACTTTTTTGAAACTAGTTATTTTTTTCATTTCACTTCACCAATTTGGAGTATTTTGTGTATGTCCATTATATGAAATCCAAATAAAAATATATTTAAATAACAGGTTGTAATGCAACAAAATAGGAAAAACGCCAAGGGGGCTGAATACTTTTGCAAGGCACTGTACATGCTGACCAGACCGCCCGAGTTGCATGCGCGAGCGTTGCAAAATAAATGTACACATACATGTTATTCAAACATTTCATCACATGCTCGTGCTTGTCAACGGGCGCCTGCGTAACCAGGCGCTAAAATAGAACTTGGAATAGAACTTGGTTCTTGACGCGCTGCAAGTCCAGCCTCTAACATCTACTCATTGGTTTTTACCAGCATATACCCACGTGGCTGATTGAAAGATGGAGGTCCACACTCCAGTCCAGTTGGTGGCCATGAAGTTGGTTGCCAACCGCCATATAAAATCCACAGAAGAAAAATAAGAAGAATGAACAAGGAGAGATTAATAAAAGAAAATGAACTAAAAACTAATTTGGTTTCCCCTTTTATCTGTGGAATAAAAGTAGAGAACACACAATTTTGTGTGACTCAAAATGGGTAGAAATTCTACAAAGATCCAGCAAAAAAAAAGGACCATATGTATTTCAGGTAAAATAACCCAATGTTTATCTCCCAGGACAAATTAGATAGAAACAGCAAGCTAGCTAAATGACCATGAATATTTCATATGTGTTTCGACCTCTCCCCAAATGAATATAGTTGGTTCACAGTTGGTTTTGTTATTTTAACCTACATGTCATCAACGCGTCGGCAGGGGATAGACAAAATCAACATGAGCACGATGGCGCACGCGGACGCACGCGCTGAGCCGGTTTGGTCATCAAGTTACCTTAACCATTTGGAATGAGTGCCTAAACTTAATGTTTTAACCCCATCCCAAACCTTAATCCTTACCTTAATCATTCAGAATGAGTGCCTAAACTTAACCCTTAACTTCTAAATTTGACGTTTGGAGAAATGGAACGATACAGAGCATCAGGAGCAACACAAATACTTTGGAATTTACATTTGGAGTAACATCGAAATTTGGCGTTTGGAGAATGTGGATGACCGTCTAATTCTGCACTGAGACTGAGAGCTCCTTGTTCCACATAACCTTAACCAGCAGAATGGTCGGTCTCATAAGACTAAAAGGCATCTGCAAAGGGTTTATCTTAAGGGTGTCAAGACCTGTAATTTGTGGACTAATTATTTATGAGCGGTTTAAGATATGATTTCCGTTTTCGATTGTAGGACAACGTTCATAAACCTGCAGCTAAAGATAACAAAATACATTTTCAAAGTGAAGAACAGTGCATATTGCAACATTTTCTCTTTCAGGGCCCTGTCATAGCCTAACTCAGAGAAGGTGAAAATAAGAAAAAGGGACCAGCAGGATGATGGCAAATACCCAGAACAAGTATGACTTTTGCCCCCAAGTCGCTGTGTCACCTCCACTGTTTGTGCAAATGCAGGTCGCTCAGCAACACCCGTCAACACACATCAACACAACTGAGCGACTTTACATTCGGCCTAAAGGGGTTGGATTAAATACATGGTATTTTTGCAAAAATCCTGGGATATTTGTAAGACATCAATGTTGGCTGATATGAACATGTAATAGGTTGACGTTTTGAGGTCGATTCTGCATCAGGACTATCTTAGTTTTAAGCAGGTTCCCTTGTAAATTGAAGCTCAGTTATTCAAATCTCTATTTGACTCATTCATTGTGTACTCTGAGGTCATCTGGACCAACCTGTTAAGCAAAATATGACGTATGCACAAGTTATGTTCATGTTGTTAGAATACTAAGATAAGGACATTTGTGTTTGAATGGGAGTGGAATGGGCTGCACCTTCTGGGTGCGGGCCACTGTGTGAAACGATGAGAAAGCCCCTACGGTCGTGAGGGCACGTTTCAGCACGCTAGACAGCGCTCGAGGGGACAGAGAACCCTATACCATGCATTGACCACTGAATATGCTCTAGAGAGACAGTAGGCTATGCCTAATCTTACGTAAAAGCCATGTGTCTGAATGTCTGAAAGTGAACTAACCTTGCTGATTGAAACAGCCTAAGATTGGATGAGTTTCATTTGTCAATCTACGAATTACCTTACAAAAAGCTTAAAGCGGCAATCAGCAGTTGAAAGAATAACAAAGAGTGTCCCAGTTGTCCCTGTCCCTGTATCGGTAAAAATCTGAGGGATGGGGCTGGAGAAATGTTACCACTCTCAAATTCATAGTCAGAGCTATGGATGAAAGGACTGACCAACCATGGTATCACAATTATAGTTTAAACCATGTTTTGAAGCTATATAGTGTTTGTTTAAATTTACTTTGTTAACAAACATTGGAATAAAACAAGCTTATATTTTGGGTTCTGATGGGGTGCGACAGTTGAACTAAGCTAATGAGGCATTTATAAGTTATATTCTTCAATAATCCATGGGTTGAATACTACATACCATTAATTTATAATACCAAAAATTGATGTAGCAACTGCAGATTTCTCCTTTAACATTAGGTTTTACAACAGAAATATACATTTCAAAAGGGTGTGTGTTTTCACATTTCTGTAGTGATTAAGATTTTATTTTTGTTGCCTATCCTAATTCAAAATATGCAGATTTACGCATGCATTGATGTCAATGGGAGATTTGCACGTTGATTCAAGTTGACAGATTCAGACATATTCTGCCCAGAAGCAACACAAATATCCATATGACCTTATAGATCACTGATTAGGAAATGTTATATAGCTCTATAAGACAATGTTTTTGTCTTCATTTAGCCTAAGTAGTGCAGTCTCTTTGGAACTTAGAGGGCTCTCCTAAGCTGCTGTTTAGAAGTCTTACATGGCGCATCCATAGATAGCTTATTCATATTAATTTCTATGGGTTTACAGTATTATAGGCTACTGAAACTATGTCATTTTGACTGATGCTTGGTTCAGTCACTATAAACCGGTATGGAAAAACAGTTTGGGGTCAATTATTGACCAAAAAGCCTCCAGTTGAAACCAAAAACATTTGAAACCCCCCTTGTGGATGTTTGCGTCTTAGTGGAAGTAGGCTACAGGTAACTGCAAAATAATAAAGGAAACACGAGTAAATGAGGGATACAAAGTATATTGAAAGCAGGTGCTTCCACACCGGTGTGGTTCCTGAGTTAAATAAGCAATTAACATCCCATCATGCTTCGGGTCATGTATAAAAATGCCCAGTTGCCCATTATTTTGGATAGAAGAACAGTGACTTTGAAAGTGGGGTCTCAAAGGAGCATAGGGGGTTTAAAGGGTGCGTGTGTGTGTGTTTCTGTGTGTCAGTCACCAGATCTCAAGAGATTCTGGAGCGGCACTTGAGACAGCGTTTTCTACCACCATCAACAAAACACCAAACGATGGAGTTTCTCGTGGAAGAATGGTGTCGCATCCATCCAAAAGAGTTCCAGACACTTGTATAATCTATGCCAAGGCACATTGAAGCTGTTCTGGCGGCTCGTGGTGGCCCAATGCCCTATAAAGACACTTTATGTTGGTGTTTCCTTTATTTGCCAGTATGCAATATTTTGGATTGTGTATGTATGCCATTCAGACGGTGAATGGGCAAGACAAAATATTTAAGTGCCTTTGAACGGGGTATGGTAGTAGTTGCCAGGCGCACCAGAACTGCAACACTGCTGAGTTTTTCACGCTCAACAGTTTCCCGTGTGTATCAAGAATGGTCCACCACCCAAAGAACATCCAGCCAACTTGACACAACTGTGGGAAGCATTGGAGTCAACATGGGCCAGCATCCCTGTGTAAGGCTTTCGACACCTTGTAGAGTCCATGCCCAGACGAATTGAGTCTGTTCTGAGGGCAAAAGGGGGTGGGGGTGCAACTAAATATTAGGAAGGTGTTCCTAATGTTTGTTATACTAAGTGTAGACTGTAATGATTATGTATTAGGTAATGCTGGGACGTGTGTGTGTGTGTGTGTGTGTGTGTGTGTGTGTGTGTGTGTGTGGACGCACTATACTAAACAGCCCCTCTGGGTTGCGCATTAGTGCCATAGATGACTTTAAAAAAGTGGAATGTTGAATCAACATCCAAATGTAATCATATCACATCCATAGAACACCATTTTAGTTGTTTACAAACACAACGTGATAGAACTGAGTTGATGCAAGAAACATGGTAAGTGGCTTAGATGAGCCAGTTATCACAAACAACATCCTCTAGGGCCAGCTGACCTTTTACAGAGTTGGAAAAAGTAACACTTACTATAGCCACGATACTGTCTGAATCTTGATCAAAGAAAATAATAACTTAGACCAGAGAATGTCAGAAAGGGAGCTCTAGCTGGCCCATATAGGCTACACATGAAAATGTCTGAAAGCAATTGGCTGCACATGAACCCTAACACATGTAGGTATCCAACTGATTTGTGCAGCAATGCAACGGTTCGTTTTTTTTTTTTTTGTATAGCCAACTGTAATGCTTACTACAAATCACAATTCTTACTATTTTAATGGACTGACGTTTTGAATGTGTTGTTGTATAGGGTGAAAGAAAATGAGAGCCAACAGTAAGGATCTCTAGCAGTTTGAGGCACACAAATTTGACTCCTTTGTTTGGAGAAAGAGGGACACTGTTTTTTTGCGATGCTTCGTCTAAGGGAACATGTGGAAGTCATCGCCCTGAGCGGCTGGAGAGATGTGTTTCTCTGCAAGGGGAGCGCTGCAGTGCGGGTCGGGCACCGCTGGAAGTGCCGCTGAGAGAGAAGCCAGGTCAGCCGGCCTGGTCGTCTGACCTGGCTCCCCATCGCTGAGTGCAGTGAGATATAAATTCATAATGACCCTTTATCCCGCGTGGCCGTTAGGAGAGCCTCAGGTTCGGGGGTGAGGCAGGGATTCACATAATACCTTCACAGAGTCGGCAAAACGAGGCAATAGTGTGCCAAATCTGCCAACAAACAACGTAGCTATAATTTTGTTGTTTTACTTTATAAGAAATTGCGCAAAAAATTAGAATGACTGGAAGTTCTTCTATCTGAGAGTTTAATGAAGTAAATATGTGGTTGAGAGAGGGAGGGAGGGAGAGAGATTTGAGTTGTGTAGTTCATGGTGTTGGAGCGCCCCCTATGCGCAATGGAGGCTTGGACGCTCATGTTTCCAAGTTTCAGGTTTTGAAAAGTGCGGATGAGCTGTTGGCTACGCTAATGTTGGACCAAAACTCTCCTACTACAGCCTATTAGTATACTATTGTTACTATTTAATTAGATGTGTATGACTATAGCATTTATTTGACTTCTTATAAACATAGGCTATCTTAATAATATCTTAATAATTAATAAAACAATCCTGGTCACATTTGTACATTTGAAAGTGTGTTCCCTCTGCGTCTTTGAGCAATGGTGACATACCTTACATTCATCTATTTCAAAACATCCTTAAATGTCGCTTGATAACTCAAATGTATATTGCGTGCTTTCCTTTTAAAATAGTCTCTATACAGGATTATTGTGCATAGTTATATCTCCCCCTTTCCTACATCACTACACAGCAGAGAAATCTGACTCCCGCTCCAGTCTCACTGAGAAAACAGCTAGGACTCTTATTTTGAAAGGAACCCATGCTGGAGGCGAGGAGAGGGGGTCATTTCCTGAGAGTTATTTACTTTGAGCCAGATGATTAGTTTTTTTTGGGAAGGATGGACTGTAACGTTGAATCAATTACAGGTCGCTGTAGCTCAAGCGCATTTGTGAGGGCGGCGGAGGACGCAGACGGAGGGGCGCACATATGCTAGCTCTCAGAGTGAAGGATCGTGGCTATAGGATTACTACTACTGCAACACACTTGAGGAGAGGAGCCTTCACTGAGAGGAGCCTTCACCGGAGCGATTTTATGCTCCTGATTTAATTCTACTGGGATTTATCATCGAGACACAAAATCCAAGGGAATTTAAAAGGTTTGTATTTTAGACAAATTACCTAATCTTTTTCATTTTTGCGAACTTTTATTTACGCAAGAAGCCTATTAATTGAGATCATTTTTTACTTGCAAAAATGAAAAAGTTACTCAACTGAACCACTTGTTAGGCTAGTTGAATATGTCCTCCTTTGTAAAAATTCACAAAATAGCCTAGCTTTTTATTATGGCACAACCTTGGGAAAACTTTTCCTGATAACAAATTATTCATCTGACCTGATCCATCCATCACACTTTGGGGGATTTCATTAGCCTAATTTCGCTACGAGGAAACATTTCACAAAACTTTTTGAAACTTTGAAGATGCATTAGCTTGCAGGGTATGTGTGACTTATGCACAATGCATTATGCTTTGAACAAGATTCAGTTTTCCGTGCAACAAATGGTCTCACCTCCGGATGCCGAGTGGAGAGATGTTGCTAACTCGCCTGGATTAAAGCGCTCAATTTCGGCCTCACTGCTGGAGGTGTCACCTCGAGAACTGAGGCTCCATTATGGGATGGTGCTGCCTGCCCTCTCATCTAATGGGAAACACATTGCAAATTGGATTTCAAGTTGTTTTCGTTTCTGCGCATGGAATGTGTGAAATTAAATGGAATATTGTGCATTGGGATTTGCTTGCTGAGATGGGAAGCAGGCTGTAGCCGATCGGATTTTAAATTAGACAGAAGAGTCATTTTGAAAAAGTAGGGTAGGGGAGACCCCATTCCTGGTTGGATGTAATTTCAGTGAGCCAGACAACAAAATGCAAATAGCCTACACGCATATTGCCACCAAGAAAGTATTCATAATTAGACTACAATTTAATGATCCACTATGTAATATGCACAACATGTGTAGCAATATTTCTTAAGATTGAAATAATTGAATTGCGCGCTGCACATATGTCAAATTAGATACAACTTTTAAAGTTTTCCATCAGTGAAACTCACTACCTTGCTTGCCTCAATGCCCCAACCACCCTCTTGATTTCGAAATGCTATCTTTAGAAATATCTCTGCTATATTCCCATGGAAATCAATTCTGCACATGTGGGATTGAATTTAACAGTTTAAGTGTGTGTGGAGGACAGTGAGCTGAACAACCCTCCCTCAGCTGTTGCTCCAAAGTGTCAAGCCCAGAACGGCGCATTTGGTAGGCTGCACATTTGTTGGGACCGTACTGTTGGTGGGGGTGAGGAAAGGAGGGGAGAGGAGAGCCAGCGGACAAGCGGTACATTTGCACACCAGGCTGGATAGGAAATTCCCTACCCCCAATGGAGCGGGTTGAAACAACGATGTGCGCAAAAGTGTCAAAGAATATTAGTCAGGATTCCCACGCGAATGTTTGTCCTACAGACTTCTCTTGTCCTAGACTTCTCTTCAGAGAGGACTCTTAATTATAGGCCCTCTCTAACTCTGGGTTTGGTTTGCCAACCATAATTAGCCAGTCCGGGATGAGACAGAGCAGACTAGCACAGTCAATGTAGCAGCAAACTGTTTTGAGACAATAGGGATTTTGATAATGGTTTAAAAATAATGTAGCCTATTTTAATCGCCCCAATGGGAGATTAGAATAATTAGTAGATCATTTAAAATAATGATCCTATAGTCACAAATTTGTTTAAAACAAAGAATAGATTAGAGTAAAACTGGTAGCCTGCATTCATGTTTGCAACGTTTTCAGCGTTGAGCGCGCGCCTTTGCTTGGAGTTGAGTCTATCTCGGATCATTTGCTGATGGAATTCAGGGTCCGCGCGCCAGACAGACAGATAACACACAGACCAGGAGAATGTCTGTTGAGCAGAACATGACCAAAAGGCAAGCTAGATTAAACCTAGATGAGTTCTTTAACAGCGCAAAAACTTATTTTGCTCGAGTTGCTTGGTTTACAAGCCTACACTGGAAAAAATAAAGGTTCTTAAATGGTTCTTCCTCAGCTCTTAAGGTTCCTTGGAGAACTCTTGCACGATAAAGAACCTTTGACTTAAGTGTGGGGTTCTTGACGTGGCATCTACAGTTCTTCGGAATTCTAAAACTTTATTAAAATGTACTTAAGCACACAGAACATTTGCCAGTATTCACAAGTGTTGATTTGTCAGTGTAACATTCCTAGTGTTGATTCAAGAATTACATTAACACTGTAAAGGGTTACATTAACATTCAGTGGTGTAAAATAAACCCAGTGTTGGTGTTAATAACCAGAGTTGCACCTAAACCACGCCCATCATTATCATATTTCCCAGCATGCTCTATTACAGGTTGATTTTTTTGAATTGTTTGCTTCAAAATCTATGTTTTTGTATGTACATTGATTGATTCATTGATCTTATTCTACTCAAATATAAAAAGCATACATTTTTGTAAACTATTCTGATCTGTTACTTGGATTTATTGCACCCATTACTGAAATAGTTGTTTCAGTTTAGATGTTTAAGGTAGTCTCGTAATTGCATATCTAAGTCTATCCAACTCTGGCAGTCATAAAAATTCGAAATGTTGGATATCCCCACGCTGTCTGAATTACCCATCACTTTGCAAGCCAGCATAATGTGACGTGCAGGCCTGATGTGGCGTCTAAATTATGAGTTTCAGGCCACTGTATTAGGGTAAAACTATGCCCTCAAAAGAAGGCCTTATGAAATATGTATTGTTTTAAATAATACAATTTTAATAACAACATATTCACTTAAAAATATAAAAAAATAAATATATAATATGCCATTTAGCAGACGCTTTTATCCAAAGCGACTTACAGTCATGCGTGCATACATAATTTTTTTTTTTGTGTATGGGTGGTCCCGGGGATCGAACCCACTACCTTGGCGTTACAAGCGCCGTGCTCTACCAGCTGAGCTACAGAGGACCACTTAGGATCTCACTTGGCCACGGGACTGAAACTGAATGAATGCAACAACCATCTCTCTGTCACTAGCAAACACATTCATGGGTGGTACTGGTAACTCTAAAATTCACTTGAAACGCACTCTGGGAAATATGCAAATAAGGCTTAAACCCCTACAGCAATTCCGGTTCTGGAGGGCTGAAACATTTCTGGTTTTGGATTTTTGTATGGTTCTTCAAAGAACCATCCCATTTATGGTTCTTCACAGACCCTAAAATGGTTCCCCTATGGCATCGCTCTCAAGAATCTTATTTGGTTCCCACTTGCACCTTTATTTTTAAGAGTGTATGGTGGTAACCATGTCTAGATTTTCAGTTGCAGTGAATAGGTCAAGCCTATTTGTAAATACAAACAGATTTAGGCCTATTTTAAAACTTTTGTAGTGGTTTCAATGTGTTGATTAATGCTGCTAGATTAGGCATCAATCCAATGTAAAATAGAGAAGGCCAGATTTAAACATTCAAAGCAATAAGAAGAGAAGGAGCACACAATTTCTGTAGATCTATATAGCCTAATGCACATCCAACTCAGGTTGCTGCTACTAATGTGCATTGTATGGAGAGGACAAATACAGGCTGCAAGTTTGTAGCCTACCTAGCCACAGAAATATAATATTTATTTTGAGGGGACTACATGACATGGAACAAAATAACTTTCCTGCTGGAGAAAGTACTTACAGCCAGAAGATGCCTGATGCAAGCAAAACGTGTACTATGTCGCCCCCTAGCGACTTCCGTGCCTGAATTTATTTTTTACCTTGGCGCCCCAATGCTATTCAACCAGGTCAAATGTTTTTATAAACATCTCCCAAGAACAAACAAGTGCAATCATTGCCTCAATGTGCCCTTTACAAGAACTGGCATGCCACAGTTACGACTGGAGACAGGAGAAAGCCAGTCAGTCTAAATGCTGTGCTGGAGCAGAAAAAGTCAAAGTATTGATTTTAATTGATCAAATTGCAATGTTTTCCAAAAAGGCTTAGGTAGTGGAGACAGAGGTATCTTCTACCGTAAGTCAATGTATTTTCTCTTCGCTTAGGCTGATAGTTTTGTTTTTGCAACATCTGGTGGAACCATGTTTGACCTGCCTGTATTTCTACTCTTCCAGCTGAGTTAACCATCCGTGACCATGGATGAAATGAAGACATGTCTCATCATTGGGGTTGTCTTGTTTGGGTTGTTATCAGGTAAGAAATTAATTTAAATAAGTAAAAACCTTTCTTGGTTCCTATCACCTGGGGTGTATTCATTAAACCGTTTACTCCAAACGAAAACTAGAGTTTCTATTGGACAAATTCAGGTATGTCCCTCCTCGTTTTGTTCCGTTTGCTCTGTTTGCTTCCGTTTGGTTCTTAAACAGTAAACGGTTTCTGTTGCAAGATGTAATGAATACACCCCTGGGGTGTATTCATTAGTCGGATTCCGTTGCAAAACATTTTACGTGCGCATCTAACCTGCCTTTTCCTTTTAGTTGTAGTTTTATCACTGTTAAAAACCTGTATTGTTTTGTATTGATTACCCTATGGACATTCAGTGAACTGTTGCGCTTTCCTTTAGTTACCTGCGGACTGACGCCACCGACCATTGTATCAACTGAAGATGAGTTTGTTCTCGAGCCACTCTCCGTTTTCAACATCAGTTGCACTAGTAAAAGAAACGTTGCTTGGGTCGAGCCCCTACCGGACGACACATTTGTTTTGCCTGGATATTACACGGCCACGCTCTTCATCTATAACGCTTCCGTGACACACACAGGATATTACACCTGCAAATACCAAGACAAAGAGGGCGATGAGGAGGAGGATGATGAAGACAATGAGGCAGTCATATACGTTTTTGTCCCAGGTAAATTTGGTGGAAATGGTTGTCATTTCCATGCACCATCACTTCATTCTATTTTGTTCTACATCCGATAGCTGCAGTCTTTTGATCGAACAACCTTGTTTTGCCTTGTGCAGATCCAGAGGTTCCATTCGTGCCTGAGGAGCCAGATAGCATGGTAGTTCTAGTCTATCCTGGTGAAACCATCATCCCCTGCAGGGTGTCAGACCCTCACTCCTGGGTGGTCCTAAAGAGTGCTCCCAGTGGAGTAGAGGTGGATGCTGCTTATGACAACAAGATCGGTTTCATTGGCAACCTGGACGCTGGACTGTACGTCTGTGAGACCACCGTGAACGGCGTGACAATGACCAGTGACACCTACACCGTGGAGGACAACAAACGTAAGTCCAGATGTGCATGATTTGTCTGACGACAAGTGGTTGTGCATATCACATTGGTTGTGTGTACACATGACTGTAAGACGCTTCGGATAAAAGCGTCTGCTAAGTGGCATATATTATATTATTCAAAAAAGCTGTCTTTGTTTACCACAGAGAGTGAAAGAGAGGGAGAGAGAGAGCGAGGGAGCGAGAGATGTGAGGTGATCTGACTGCATGAAAGAAATGACATCATGTCATTAGTACCGGGGGAGATTACTTCACAGGGTTGTTGTCAGACAGACAGAGAGAGTGTGATGGCATCAGCCTGCAGTGAACTTCGAGAGGGAGATGACCTCATGGCTGTCAGGGGGAACAGTTGACCATGCAGAGACCTGTGGATGACCGTATTGTCCCTGTTGACCGTATTGTTCCTGTTGACCGTATTGTTCCTCCCTCCCCTGGTGGTCTGTACAGTGATGGAAGACTTCCATGTGGAGGTGAAGGCCAGCGAGGAGACAGTGAGACTGGGGGAACCCTTCAACATCACCTGTGTGGCACCTCCAGGACTGCCCTACCAGCAGCAGTGGCTTCACCCCAGGAAACAGGCAAGGACCTTATCCCTCTCTCCATCTCTCTCTTTCTCTCTGTCTCGCAGTGTATGTCTTTCCTCCCACACCCTCCCTCTTTTCTCTACTTCCTCTCCCATGTTAGCCTCCTCTCTTACCTCCCTTTTAATATGATCTATATCTCTTTGTCGGCTATTCTCCATCGCCCTCTTTCTCTTCCCTCCTTAATATGTCTCCTTCTGTCTCTCTTTCCATCCTTTATCCCTCTTGGTGTCACTACGTCTGATTCATCTCCTCAGTCTTATTGTAGTGATAAATGGCTTGGGCTCAGGCACAGTGTGGGTCAGTGTAACATAACTCTGAGGATGGATGGGCCTTAGTGGTTAAAGGTATGTATCACTAAGTACAGCTGGATCTCAGCACCGTGTCCATTACCAGGGCTGGAGCCAAATGGTGCATCATGGTACCATAACCCCAGCTCTCTCTCAGTCAGACAGAGGGAAAGGAGTGAGACAGTTGTTTGTTAAAAACAGGTCAAATGGGTAGAAGGAAGAAGGAAGTTCAAAGGAGAGGGGCGACAGTAAATCACATGATCTCTGTGACCACTGGATGTGTAGAACAGCTATACGCCCCACCTCCTCTTAACCCCAGTGAACTTAGAATGTGCGTGGATGTGTTTGAGCATTGAGTGTGTGTTAGGTTAATGGCATGTTTATATGAGATAATGAGAGTGTGTCCATTCTTCGGTATAGTCATGCATCATTTAGTTCATTTAAGTTTGTGTGCCAGTGTATATGATAGTATGGGAAGTGGATAGAGACTTTGTCTGAAGTGATAGTCTATGTGCGTGTGCACCACTGTCTTTGTGTGCACTGTGCAGTAATCCCTGCAGCACATTGTGACAGAGCGTCTGTTTTAGTGGTGGGATTACTCTAAGCCCTTTTCCAGAGACAGTTAGGGTAACAAGAACTCAAGACTTCTGACTCCTGGCTTTAGTCTCAGTTGTAATTACAGGCTTTTAAAAGCCCCGGGGTCCTGATTTATCTCCTGTGGACCAGCACGTGTTTTAACTATCAGCTCACAGACCGATAGAGAGACATACTGCTCTGATATACAGAATAAAACACTAAACCTGTTAAAAGGTGGAGAAGAGCATAGAGATATTTTATTTCCTAGAGATGGGGATAGACATGTGTATGCATGTGTGCGCATGTGTGTGTCTACAGTGTATTTCATCTCCTGTCCTCTTGTTCCTCTATCTAGGCTGTGGATGCAATCCAGATGAAGCAGACTCTGCCTGATAGAGTGGTCTACACCCTCAGTATCCCAGCAGCCACCTCTCAGGACAGTGGGGTGTATGAGTGCTCCATCACCAACAGCTTCAGTGGAGAGATCAGAGCCAACATGGTGGCTGTCACTGTCTTCGGTACGCTCGCTCATCCTTATGGCCAATCAAAAACTATTCTTGGAAACATACAAGTCATGTCTATCACCAGTCAAACCATGCATTGTAGACATTTTCTCTCAAGACATTGCCTATCCTTCAACAACGTTTCTATTAATTACCAATACCATTTAGTTGTAGATGTATTAAACAGAAACTACTTGGGATTTTTTAAGATGTATTTGAATACAGCTGATACTTCTTGGTTGGAGTCTTTAAAAGTAGTCTCCTTGAATTCACATTAATGCGTAGACTTAATTCATCCTGCCTGACAGTGTCAGTATGAGGTGCTAGAGGGAAGGGGTTCTGCAGTCTCCCTACAGTAGAATCGAGGCACACCTCTGCTTTCATCATCAGCCCCAATGCTTTATGGGATGGCTTCAACAGATGTGTGCCAGACTTTCATTTCTCTTTTTCGGTTTCTGTCATCCTTCCTTCGGGGTGTCCCCCCTCTATCACTCTCTCTTTCTTCTACTTCCTATTTTTTGCACCCGTCTCTGTAGAGGAGAGCTCCTTTGTGATGTTGGACCACAGTGGGATCGGAGCGGTGGAGTTTGTCAGTATGATGGAGGAGACTGAGTTCACCATCAGTATTGAAGCCTTCCCTGCCCCTAAAGTTACCTGGCTGAAAGACGGTATTGCCATCACTGACAACAGCTACTTCCTCACCAAGACCAGACGTCTGGGGGGCAACCAGTAAGATCATAACATCTGTATATAGCAACGCTGGTGTTTGTGTGTCTGTGTGTCTTTGGAGCTCTGTGTGTTGTGTGCTGGACTGAGCTATGTGGTTCTCTGCCCATCTCTCAGCTATCAGAGCACTCTGACTCTTCGGCAGTCATTAGAGGAGGACAGTGGGAATTACACAATCATGGTCCTCAGCAACGCTCACACTGCCCAGTTCTCCTTCACCCTCAAAGTGAAAGGTGAGAATAACCTCAAGCCAAGTGAAAATGCACTTCTACGTGTGTGAACATGCATTTATGTTTCTATGTTTTCAAATGTGTTAGCAACTGAATGCGTCAGTGTGTGTGTATTATCGCAGTATCATCCTAAATCTGACAATATGTCTGCCTGTGTGTCTTCCAGACTCAGGCCCAGTACTGTTCCAGCCAGCCTCAGCGCCAGTGCTGTTTCCCCAGAGAGAGGAGATGATTGCTCCCCTCCACACCCCCTTCACCCTGACCTGCAGGGGCGAGGCCGAGCTGGCCTGGGACACGCCTGTCTACCTATCAGAGCAGACCGAGGAGGACAACAGCGGCCTGTTCATCACCACGGTTACAGTAGAGAACGCGACAGCAGGACACACTGGCTTCTACACCTGCTTCTACAAAGGAGGGAACTCCACTGAGGAGGGAGAGGAAAGCAGCATCTACATATATGTGCCAGGTATAGGGAAGACAGCACTGTGGTGTTGGAGTTAAATCTGTGTTAGCAATTTCAATGATTGGAAACTTACCATGCCATCTTCTCACTTCCTCAGATCCAGAGGTGCCCTTCGTGCCCTTGCTGGTGCCCTTTGGCAACCACGTCCTGAATGGTCTCGATGAGATGGAGATCCAGTGTCGCGTGTCGGACCCCAGTGCCAATGTGACTCTGGTCAACGCTGATACCCAGCAGGCCGTGCCCATGGCAGTCTACGACAGCAAGAGGGGCGCTGTGGGCTTCTTCAGCGCAGGAACCTATGTCTGTAAGGCCCTCGTCAACGGAGAGGAGCACCTCAGTGAGGAGTACATTGTCCACGGCTGGGCAGGGGGGTCGGAGTTGCGTGTGGAGCTAAAGGCCCAGGAGACAGCCCTCTTGGTGGGAGACACCATCACTGTCATTTGTGTGGCCCGGGGGTCTGAGATACTGGAAGACCACTGGAAGTACCCTGGAAAACTGGTAAACAAAAGCACATACATAATTATTATTCTCTTACTGGAGAGCATGTTCATTGATTGATTTTAAAATGCATTTGTTTGTTTGATTATAAATGGGTCTAACTTGTGTGTGTTTGTGTGTGTCAGGCGGACCGTGGCTTGAAGTCAGTGCGTGAGAATAAGAGAGACCAGGAGATCCAGTACACCCTGACTGTCCCCCAGGCCTCAGCCAAAGACAGTGGCATCTACGTCTGCTCCATCACTGACATCATCAGCAACAAGAACCAGACCAAGAAGCTGGCCATCACTGTCTATGGTACGTTTGTGTCACTGTTTATTAACCTAATAACAAGGCAATAATGTTGGTTTATCATCTTCCTTGAACTGGTAGATTGCTCTAACTACCTGTCACCTTTACATATTCTATTAATGTTTATATCTCCATTTTCTGTCCTGATAGAGAGGCCATTCGTGTCACTGCGCCCTGCGTTCAGTTCCCAGGAGTCAACAAACCTGGATGAGGTCAGACAGTTCAGGGCCGACATTGACTCCTTCCCCAGCGCTCAGGTCACATGGCTCAAAGATGGCCTCCCTCTCAACGACGTGGCGGCTGAGATAACCACCAGCCTCCAGCAGGTCAGCGAGACCAGGTGAGAAAGACTTCCTTTGACACCCCTCAACAACACCTACACTCATTGGCTAATAACATGTTCTGGTCAGCAAGACCAGGTGAGACTTCCTCTGACATTACTCAACACTGACTGAAGAGATATGATATACCACGTCCTGCACACTACACTCTGTGGCTAATAACAGGTTCCTAGTTCACCTAGGATGTTTAGATGTCTATTATTAAGGTCTGGTGTTGTTGTGCGATGTTAGTGGAACTAGTCTCTTGTGACAGACTTAACAGCGTGCTCATGAGATTTGGTTCTGGGTGCCAAGATTAGAGTGTAACCATACATGTTGTTTGGACTCTGTAGGTACCAGAGTGTTCTGACCCTTATCCGGGCCAAAGAGGAGGACAGTGGGAACTACACCATCAGAGTGCAGAACGGGAACCTGACCCACAGCCACAACTTCAGCCTGCAGGTCAAAGGTGAAGCAGAGGAATGCTCCAACCCCTCAATTTGGATTTACCTTTAACTTACTGACTAACAGGACTCCCATACTCCCTGACACTCTTTCTTTGACCCACCTCTCTCTCTCTCTCTCTCTCTCTCTCTCGCTCTCTCTCTCTCTCTCTCTCTCTCTCGTCTCTCTCTCTCTCTCTCTCTCTCTCTCTCTCTCTCTCTCTCTCTCTCTCTCTCTCTCTCTCTCTCTCTCTCTCTCTCTCTCTCTCTCTCTCTCTCTCTCTGTATTGTGGTCTGACCCCGTGTTCCCTCTCTCTGTGTCCAGTGCCTGCAGTCATTGTGGACCTGATGGACCTCCACCATGGCTCAGGCCAGTCTGTAGTGTGTATCGCTGGAGGCATGCCCACTCCTATGGTGGAGTGGTTCATCTGCAAGAACATCAAACAGTAAGGGCACACTCTCACGACCCCACCTTCTTCCTCTTCATCTCTCCATTCTATAAATTCACATACACCTACTGTACATTGTTCACCTCTACCTGGCGGCTTCATATGCTACTATGCCCAATGGGACAATTTCATGGTATCATTTGGTCTCATAATGTAGAAGGAGAAGGAGGAGAGGAACGGAGGAAGGAAGGAAGGAAGGACAGGAAGGAAGGAACGTAAGGAAGGAGGAGGAAGAGAATGCGGATGAAGAACGCTTATCCGTAATATTCCTTCCTTCCTTCCTTCCTTCCTTCCTTCCTTCCTTCCTTCCTTCCTTCCTTCCTTCCTTCCTTCCTTCCTTACTTCCCTCCTTCCTTCCTTCCTTCCTTCCTTTCGTACTTCCTTCCTTCCTTCCTACCCTGTCCAGCTGTACCAATGACTCGTCTCAGTGGGTGCCCCTGCCTACCAACAACACAGAGATCACTGTGGAAGTGCACATCGACCAGGACAACCAGCTGGAGAGTAAGGTGATCTTTGGGCATCTGGAGAACACCCTGGCCGTTCGCTGCCTGGCCAGGAACGAGATGACCGCCGTCAGCAGGGAGGTCAAGCTGGTGTCACAAGGTGAGACATACACAAAGTCACACTTACCTCTTCCTTCAGTTAAACAACAAACATGGTTGGCAGAATCTATGGTGAATAGATTTACAGTATCTTAGATTGCCATTTTGCCTGCAGTATATTTTCTTCCTGCTATAGTCTCCTCTTTAACTAGCTAGTTCCTTCCTGTGGTTGCTTCCCTTTGTGACACTTGAAGTGTGATAGGCATTGAAGAGACTGTGCTAGGCGGTCAGTGTTGAGGCAGCTGTCTGGTAAAGCTATCTGTGGTGGGGCAGTGTATCCCAGACTGTCATTGGGCAGCTGTGTGTTAGCCTGGGAGACTTTTACTGTGAAAAGTAAATCCCCAGTAGTTTAGGCCATTTGGCCCCTCCAGCTGTGCCCCCCTCCCCAACCCCGCTCCTCTCCTTAATCCCTTCAGCACACCTTTTGGTCCTGATAATCTGAGGCCCCACTGGCTTGGCTAATTGGGTGTGAGGCTCCATGCTGAACTATACAATTTAAATAGGGTATTTGTATTGCCATGTTCAAGTTCTTCATATTTGACCTCATTTGGGGGTTTTCAGATAATTTATCAAACTAACATTCCCATATTGATTTACATTGACTTCTCCATATTATTTTCTCTCTGTGGCATTCTCCATGTTGTGCTCTCCATCTCATGTGTGTGTGGTGGTTCTCCTGAACAGGCCCTCACTCAGAGCTGACTGTAGCTGCTGCTGCCCTGGTGCTGCTGGTCTTTGTCATCATCTCACTCATTGTCCTGGTCATTATCTGGAAACAGGTACAGCAGATCATCAATGCCCCTCACGCAAGCACAAACCCACCCACTCACTCACTCACAGACTCATTCTCTCATTGACTCATTAAATCACTCAACTACACTTTAACAAGTGTCCTAGAGCCTTAGGTATTGATCTGTTTTGCTATGTCCTCTGTCCTACAGAAGCCTCGCTATGAGATCCGTTGGAGGGTGATAGAGTCAGTGAGCCCTGATGGCCATGAGTACATCTACGTGGACCCCATGCAGCTACCCTATGACTCCAGATGGGAGTTCTCTCGCGATGGCCTCGTACTGGGTGAGAGCCGACTGCACTGCTTCCTCTCTCTGTGGTCTTACTGTGGTCATGTTCTTGTCAGAGTGTCACATCACCATGGTCGGGTGGTCAGAGTGTCATAGCACCATGGTCTGGTGGTCGTGTTCTGGTCAGGCTGTGGTCTGGATGTCTCCCGCTGGTCTTTGAAGTGAAGATGTGATAAGGCCATCTGGCCTGGCAGACAGGGGAGGCTAGGACGCGCTGCCTGGGTTTGGGTTATGACTCACTGATCAAAGGGAAACTCAACCACTGGGGACCTGGGGAAGTCACTGATGAGAGGGCAGAGGCAGACATGTGTGTTCGTGTGTTTGTGTCTGTGTGTGTGTGTGTGTGTTTGTGTGTGTGTTTGTTTGCTTGCCTGTCTATGTTTGTGTATTTGTTTACCCTCCATGTTAACTGATCGTGTGCCATGTCTGGTGTGTCCGCAGGACGTATCCTGGGCTCTGGGGCGTTTGGGAAGGTGGTGGAGGGAACAGCATACGGACTCAGCCGCTCCCAGCCCGTCATGAAGGTGGCCGTGAAGATGCTGAAACGTGAGTTGACCACAGACAGCTATAAAGACAGCTACAGTGAGGGAAAAAAAGTATTTGATCCCCTGCTGATTTTCTATGTTTGCCCACTGACAAAGACATGATCAGTCTATAATTTTAATGGTAGATATATTTGAACAGTGAGAGAAAAAATAACAACAAAAAAATCCAGAAAAACGCATGTCAAAAATGTTATAAATTGATAAGTAATTAGTATTTGACCTCTCTGCAAAACATGACTTAGTACTTGGTGGCAAAACCCTTTTTGGCAATCACAGAGGTCAGACGTTTCTTGTAGTTGGCCACCAGGTTTGCACACATCTCAGGAGGGATTTTGTTCCAGTCTTCTTTGCAGATCTTCTCCAAGTCATTAAGGTTTGAGGCTGACGTTTGGCAACTCAAACCAGCTCCCTCCACAGATTTTCTATGGGATTAAGGTCTGGAAACTGGCTAGGCCACTCCAGGACCTTAATGTGCTTCTTCTTAAGCCACTCCTTTGTTGCCTTGGCCGTGTGCTTTGGGTCATTGTCATGCTGGAATACCCATCCACTACCCATTTTCAATGCCCTGGCTGAGGGAAGGAGGTTCTCACCCAAGATTTGACGGTACATGGCCCGTCCATCGTCCCTTTGATGCGGTGAAGTTGTCCTGTCCCCTTAGCAGAAAAACACCCCCAAAGCATAATGTTTCCACTTCCATGTTTGACGGTGGGGATGGTGTTCTTGGGGTCATAGGCAGCATTCCTCCTCCTCCAAACACGGCGAGTTGAGTTGATGCCAAAGAGCTTGATTTTGGTCTCATCTGACCACAACACTTTCACCCAGTTCTCCTCTGAATCATTCATAACTTCAGACGGCCCTGTATATGTGCTTTCCTGAGCAGGGGGACCTTGCGGGCGCTGCAGGATGTCAGTCCTTCACGGCGTAGTGTGTTACCAATTGTTTTCTTGGTGACTATGGTCCCAGCTGCCTTGAGATCATTGACAAGATCCTCCCGTGTAGTTCTGGGCTGATTCCTCACCGTCCTCATGATCATTGCAACTCCACGAGGTGAGATCTTGCATGGAGCCCCAGGCCGAGGGAGATTGACAGTTCTTTTGTGTTTCTTCCATTTGCGAATAATCGCACCAACTGTTGTCACCTTCTCACCAAGCTGCTTGGCGATGGTCTTGTAGCCCATTCCAGCCTTGTGTAGGTCTACAATCTTGTCCCTGACATCCTTGGAGAGCTCTTTGGTCTTTGCCATGGTGGAGAGTTTGGAATCTGATTGATTGATTGCTTCTGTGGACAGGTGTCTTTTATACAGGTAACAAACTGAGATTAGAAGCACTCCCTTTAAGAGTGTGCTCCTAATCTCAGCTCGTTACCTGTATAAAAGACACCTGGGAGGCCAGAAATCTTTCTGATTGAGAGGGGGTCAAATACTTATTTCCCTCATTAAAATGCAAATCAATTTATAACATGCGTTTTTCTGGATTTTGTTGTTGTTATTCTGTCTCTCACTGTTCAAATAAACCTACCATTAAAATTATAGACTGATAGTCTCTTTGTCAGTAGGCAAACGTACAAAATCAGGAGGGGATCAAATACTTTTTCCCTCACTGTATAGAGACAGCTATAGAGAGGACCATTAATGCCTGTGGAGATTGCCTGGAGAGAGCTGTGTGCTTGAACACAATCAGTCAGTCACAGCAATACCTTAAGGCTCAGACACAACGGTAGCGTTTGCCGGCCGAGAGTACTTGCCACCACTGAACAGAGTGCCGGCCGTAATTTGTAAACTGAGTGCAAACCGAATCTACACGTAGAATCACATGAAAATGTTGTCAGTCAGACGTCCATCAGCGGGTGATCCCTAAAACACACCATGCCGAACGAACGGCAGGTGAACGGCAGATCAACATTCGGTGCGGTGTGTGCTCCCTTACGTTGTGATTGATGAAACAATGGCAGTCATTGATGAATGTTGTAGATGTTGATGGATTGATTGATTGTGTGTGATGGACTGATACTTGCGGTGTGATTGATTGAAGGTTGAGTGATTGTTTGTCTGTTTCTCGTTGCAGCCACGGCCCGCTCCAGTGAGAAACAGGCACTGATGTCAGAGCTGAAGATCATGACTCACTTGGGCCCTCACCTCAACATTGTCAACCTGCTGGGGGCCTGCACCAAGTCAGGTGACTACACACGCACGAATGAACGCACACACACATGCTTATAGGCACGCATGCACACGCACACGCACACACACAGTTTTGACAGCCAAGAAGGGAAGTTGCCATTCCTCTCTGAGCCGATGGTGGATATGGTATTTTAATAGGATTTTTATGAGTGTAAAGGCTTGCCCTCTTGACGTTGCTTTTAGCCTTTACGAGCCTCTGATAAGATTAGCCAGCAGACTGACGCCTGTGTCTCTATCTCTTTACTCTGTTCCCATGCAGGCCCCACCTACATCATCACCGAGTACTGCTTCTATGGAGACCTTGTCAACTACCTGCACAAGAACAGAGAGAACTTCATCAGCCTTCACCCAGAGAAGACCAAGAAAGACTTGGACATCTTTGGCATCAACCCTGCAGATGAGAGCAGCAGGAGGTAAAGAGACATCCCAGCTAGTACATTTGGTTCATTGGAAGTTGTGAGAACCTATGTTTTTGGTTTCACATTGGTTCTGGGAACAAACTCATACGTTTCCTGACCGGTAAAACTGAACGTTTTTTAAACGTTCTGAGAAAGGAAGTGAACATTTTGCCAGTTCTGGGAATGTAGATTTGTAGGTTGCAGGGAGGTTCTGAGATCATTTTACTGTGGTTCCCTGAAAGTTTTCCTGGGAGGTTTTATTAACGTTCTGAGAATGGAAATGATAGGTTATTTGAATGTAATTAAATAATGTTCTGAGCACATGTTTCAATAAGACTTAATAACCCTGCTAGCTTAGGTTAACTGTTTTGAACAGGTAAGACACATGGAAATGAATTTGCTTAGGTATTAATCATGGAAACACATATTTTTTTTATTGTGGCACAGAGTCAGTGAGATTCAAACCTATGATCTTCTGTTTTCTATCCATGGAATTAGTCACTGCGCCACCAGGATGGAGCAAGCATGCCATTTTTTTACTCATACAAAGCTGTTCATTTTAGTCTATTCAAACAGATCCCATTTCAAAGGAAACAAGCACTCATTAAGATTAGGTGAGCCCAATTAGTGGGTGCGGTCAACACACCTGAACACACTTAATAAGATAGAGGATAGAGAGCGTCTTGTTGACGCTGAGAATGGAATGTATATGTTTTAAATAACACTCTTAGAATATTCTTTGAACGTTACTAATGTTTTCTTGTGGTTTTTATGGAACGTTTTCTTAATGTTCAGAGAACATGACTTTAAATATAACCATGAGGAAACCTGCAGAAAACATTATGTGGAAGTACTGAAATTCTCACAGAAGAACATTGTTTCTTAACGTTCTCTGAAAATTTGAGAACTTCACTTTAAATAGAACCATGAGGAAACCTGTAGGAAACGTTATGCTGAAGTACTGAAATTCCCACCTACGAAATGTATGGTTCTCAGAACGTTATGTGCTAGCTGGGTATCCTGCCATTCCCAGAAGGTTGTATGCAAAATAACAATAGGACAACCACGCTCTCAACCAAGCTCTAAGAATCAAATGGTTCTCAGAACATTATGTGCTAGCTGGGCTATAGGATCAGCTCCGAAAACATACACACATGGGTGCACACTCACACACAGGCCAGGAAACACACACACACAGACGCACACACAGACACAGACACCCCTCAGTTGCTCCTCTACCCCACTCAGTCTTCTGTCTCATTGACGCAGCACTTTACTGCACTCGCTCAGAAACATAACGTAACCCTACCCCAGGCATCCTCATGGCTGAGGGGGTCGTCTGGCGTCTTCCACTAATTAAATCTGTGTCTGAAGTGGTGCTCGGCTTTCAGGCTAATCACATTACTCTTGTTTGGTACCTGTTAATGGTCTCTGTCCAGCTCCTCTCTGTTTGCTGATCTGTGTTGACGGATGACTCACAATGACCACATTTCAGAGTGTGACCACACCATGATTTAATCTCAACCACCCTGACCATCAACCACACCCTCCATATAGGGAACCTCAGGACATACAGTACACTGGGCCTTCTTAGAGAACCAATGGCGACTCTAACATGGTTGTTGTTTGTCTCTTCCCAACCTCCCCTCCTCCTACCTCTCTCCCTCCTCGTCTCCATGCAGCTATGTGATCCTGTCCTTTGAGAGTGGTAAAGGGGACTACATGGACATGAAGCAAGCAGACACCACACAGTATGTGCCCATGCTGGAGATGAGTGACACCTCCAAGTACTCCGACATCCAGAGGTCCGAGTATAACCACCCGCCATCACAGAAGGGTGGTGAGTACACAGTCTGACAGCCTTGTTCTCTTCCCTTTCGCTCTTCTGCTCTTCATCTAACTCTCCTTCCCCTCTCGCTGTGTGGCTTGGCTGCGTTGGCTGAAGTGCAGGGTTTAAGTCAGTGCTGGTTGGGTTGAAGGGTCCACCCTTCTCAGCATGTAGGCCTGCCTGAGCCGGCCTGTAATCATATAGAGCGGGTAATTGTACCACACATAATAATGCACGGTTCTCCCTGCCATTAGGAAAAACCAGGTTACAGCAACCAGTTCTATATTTACATGCACATAAACATACAAACACACACTTTATTCACTCACTCATAGACAGACTGAAGCTAAATGTGTTTGTGTGTCTGTGTGTTTTCCTGATCCAGATAATGAGATGGACAACATGCTGTCAGGGGATGGTAACGAGGGCCTCAGCACCACAGACCTGCTCAGCTTCACCTACCAGGTGGCCAGAGGCATGGAGTTCCTATCCTCTAAGAACGTGAGTGACCAAGGGCTGGGAATGACTGTAGATTAGAGGGACTGATAACATGATGTCAGTTCAGTGCAGTGGGCTGGGAATGATGTCAGACAAAACAATAGCTACCCAACAGACAGGTGGCGATATCAACTAGAGACACAGAGGTGAGCCTAGGATGCCATAGCCATCTTTGAATGGCCTGACTTAGCAACTAAGGAAGGAAGTGGTGGCGACATGTTTCCATTGGCTTAGCAGAAGCTGGTGCCACTGGCAAGCTGGTTCTGTCCTCTCTGTTGGTACACAGCAGGGAGTGAGTCGGTTGCCACGTCAACCCTGTACATTTCAGGGGTAACCACGGTAATGATGGGAGGCAGGTTGTGGGCTGCTGTTGTGCTTGATGACAGCTGTGAAAGCCAAGAGGTTGGCTAAATCAGGGTGATAAGGCTGAGCTCACTGCTCAGGAGACAGGACAGGTCTTTATATAGAACACCCAGTAGGCTGGATTACACTGGGTACAAAACAGCTATAAGCTCCTCATACAGCCTCCTAGTTATTATCCTTGAATATACTCTGGGCAGGAGTGGTCAGTCAAGGCTTGTTGACATAAAGCCACCTGTAAATCACAAGGAGGGAAGAGAGAATAAAAGGAAAGGAAGATTGTCAAAATGTTTTCTTTGAATTGAGATGAATGAAATGCTGAATTTTGCGGTGTAGTGTGTGCATCGGGATCTGGCTGCCAGGAATGTCCTGCTCTCTCAGGGGAAGATAGTAAAGATCTGTGACTTTGGCCTGGCCAGAGACATCGTGCACGACAACAACTACGTCTCCAAAGGCAGCGTGAGTATTTCTCTAGGACCATACTGGCTGTTTGTGTACCCTGATGGGCATAGACATGTATCTGTGAAGGTGGCTTGTCCCCTGCTTGTTCATGTTAGCACTCCATTATGGTCCACTATTGTACTGTCCGTTATATGAGTGCAGTGTGTTTGATCCATCTGCGCTATGTGTTGACCACAGACCTTCCTGCCAGTGAAGTGGATGGCTCCTGAGAGTATCTTTGACAACATGTACACCACCCTCAGTGATGTCTGGTCCTACGGCATCCTCCTCTGGGAGATCTTCTCTCTAGGTGAAGCTCAGCTGACCCCTAACCTGTTTCAGTGACACATTAACAGCAGCATGTTAGGGAGACGGCTGACTCCAGATCAGTGTGTAGATACAGTGTGTTGACAGTGATACTGGTGTTTGCTGGTGTACTGATGGCAGTGTGTTTGTGTTAAAGGTGGCACCCCATACCCAGGGATGGTAGTGGACTCCAGCTTCTACAACAAGATCAAGAGTGGCTACAGGATGGCCAAACCTGAGCATGCCCCCACTGATGTGTATGTACATATATATTTATATAATAATAATTATACATTGTGTTGTGTACATTATTATGCTGAAACATTTGTCCAAAACACTTTTTGAAACACTTGATTAGATAACATGAAAATACTATGGAAGGCTATGTACTACTGCTGTAAAAGTCTAACGCACAGTACTAAACTGTGATGTACAATGCCATGACATGACTCGAACTAAACTAAATTATAGCATGCCGTTCCTCCCTGCACTGTTTGTCTTGTTCTCTCTGTTTAACTAGTGTGTTTTCCCTCCTCCAGGTATGAGATGATGATGAAGTGTTGGAATAGTGAGCCTGAGAAGAGGCCTTCCTTCTTCAGCCTGAGTGAGAGCGTGGCCTCACTGCTGCCGTCCGGCTACAAGAGGGTGGGTGTCTCTACAGTATGACCTCTGACCTAACGGCCTCTCCCAGGTTTCCTCACACTTGCTTTCTAATCTCCCTCTCTCTTTCATTCCTGACCCTGACCTCCGACGTTTGGACGTACTCTTCCCTCTTATAATTTATTTTCCTTTCTATCAGTCTCACCCCCCTTTTACCTTACCTGACCTATCCTATTTTTCACTAGGAGCGGAGTAAGTGCTTCAACCATCCTCTTCCTCCTCCCCTTAGCCTTGGGGCATGTTATAGTTCTACAATACTAGTAAAGTGTAGAAGTTCATCTAAAACCAGGCTCACAAACTCCAACCACTTCCCCCCAACTGTGCCAGTGGAGTGTGTTTCTGTGGGCTCTGCCAGTGGAGTGTGTTTCTGTGGGCTCTGCCAGTTGAGTGTGTTTCTGTGGGCTCTGCCAGTTGAGTGTGTTTCTGTGCGCTCTGCCAGTTGAGTGTGTTTCTGTGCGCTCTGCCAGTTGAGTGTGTTTCTGAGTGTGTTTCTGTGGGCGCTGTGTATTTCCGTTGTGTTAAAGCCCAGCCCTGGCGGTGATTAGAATGCTAATGCTCCAGCTGGTGGTCAGAGTGGCCAGCCCTAACCACAGTAGTGATGCTGCAACAGCAGCCCCAGCACCCAGGTCCCAGGTCTCGCCTCCGTCCACCGGCTAGGGTAACCATAATGAGCCTATTAAACAGCACGCCACACATGGCACATCAAACCTCCTCCTCCCCCCACAACTCTGCTTTAATGGCCCGGGAGAGTGGAGGAGCTGGCTCCCATTTTAGCACCTCGGATTGGGGTTGGCTGGGCTAGGGTGGGGTGGGAAATGTCGTTCACTATGTGGGTCTCACCACCAGGCTAACAGACTGACTGAGTGAGAACACACATACCAATGACTGCTGGTTGAACTGATAGGTTTTAACTGGTTCAAGTGTTATATCAGTTTTAGGATTCATCAGATTTATGAGTTTTGTGAATGCAGCTGTTTTGGAGGTACTGTATGGGACATACCAGAGCACTAAATAACTCTGATTAGTACAGGCCAATAGTATTTCCTTTACAAGCACAGTGCTCTTGGCTTTAGAAACAGTTAGCCATATAGCAACGTTTTCTGCATGGTACTGTAGACATTCTGCTCCAATGCTACTAGATAGGTTGATGTTCATTGTGCCCTCTCTTTCTTTGTTGTGCAGTGCTTCGAAAGGGTGAACCATGAGTTCCTGAAGAGTGACCACCCAGCAGTGACCAGGGTCCAGGTGGAGAATGACGACGCCTACATTGGGATCACCTATAAGAACCAGGGCAAGTCGAAAGATAGGGAGAGTGGCTTCGATGAGCAGCGCCTCAGCTCTGACAGTGGTTACATCATCCCCCTCCCTGACCTGGACCCTCTGTCTGATGACGAGTACTGCAAGAGGAACCGCCACAGGTAGGCTACCACCTCAATCTCAGACATGTCTATCCTCATTTCAAACTCTTATATGTGATATGTAATAACACTGTTTTACACCATAACATGAGCTGGTCCTGTTAAGCAAATCCAGCAAATGAGATACCCCTCTTATTTAACTCATGGTCACTCCTGTATACTATACCCCATCCACTCACATTAGCTGTTCAGTAACACTAACCTGCTCCTCTCTGTCCTGTGTAGCTCGCAGACGTCTGAGGAGAGTGCCATAGAGACAGGCTCCAGCTCCACACTGACCAAGAGAGAAGGAGAGACCCTGGAGGACATTACCCTGTTGGATGAGATGTGTCTGGACTCAGAGCTGGTGGAGGACAGCTTTCTGTGACAGGCCTGGAGAAGCCTAAAGCCTGCCAAAGAGAGGGGGATAGTGGGGGGAAACACACCTGAACATAGACTCTCAAACCACCCACTCGTCCTCGCCACCCCCCTATCTCAAACCCTCCTCATCCCCTGCCCCACACATCTCCACTCCTATCAGGAGGACAGAGCAAAACCACTTCACTGCTTGGATGAGTCTGTCTGTGGCCAGATCATGGTATGCCTGCTGTTCCCTCTTCAGAAAGCGCCCCCTGTGGGGCTGGAGGGACATGCATGGATAGATGGATAGTTGGGACACTGAGGACTCGCCACTATCCTGTGGTTACTGAGTCTCTATGGAACGTTAGTGTTGGATGGGACTAAGTGCACATGAGGAGAACATGGAGGAAGATTGTTTTTTATATAAATGTATAGAACCTTATTCTAATGGGCATTCTGAACAGCAACATAAGCAAGGATGGATGGAGGGATCAGAATGGATCAGGCGTGAAAATCAAAGACCCAGAATGAAGAGCAGTTTATCTCAGCCATGCAGAACCACTACAGACAGACCCACTATTTAAACCACATCACACCTGTGCCAGCAAACAGACCAGTATGAGGCCAGCTACACAACAGACAGCTTTACTTCACAACTCACCTACCTGCAGCATATGTTCTATAACTACAGTATATCTGATGCTGGCACAATCAGTAGCAATACTTTGATTAAAAAGCACAAAATCTGGACTATGTATATGTTTTTATATGCGATCATATGTTGTCAATAGCTAAATAAGTGCAGCAGTTCAAATGTATTTTTTTTACTTTTTATCACACATATATATAAATATGTATAATTTTTTTATACTGGGTTGAGGAAGGTGATGATATGGGTTTTAAATGAATAACACAACTATCATAACTTGTCTTGTAAATTGGATTCAGCTTTGTGACATTACCACTCTCTAAAGACAAGATGTGTACACTAATAAACTAACTGTGTTGTCTCCTGTCACTTGCATAGGTATGTTTAGGAAAGGCCTCAGTCTGATTGTAATGTAAATAGTGGTCGAGTGTTTTTATATATGAGAGAAGAACTGGAGGTAACATGGCATTATTATAGGCATCTTCTTATGTGTAGCTCTGTTTGAAACCTGTGAAACCCATCTTTCAACACTAGAATCCATAGAACATAATCTGTTACATATTGGAATCTGTAACTTGTGTAAATTATAAAATGGACATTTGTTTATTCAAATTGTAAAATGAACTCATGCTAAGTATGAGTGACATTGAACCTGGGCCAAAGTACATGTATGTGCATTAGTACAGCATGCAAGAATATTTGTTGTTTTTAAGCTTTGAGCTTCTGCCATTGTAATAATAGTAATGAATTTATGTTAATAATAAATGAAGAGTATTATTCACTGCAGATAAAGGAAGAGAACCAGAGAGAAAAACACCCTAGCCATCTGATTTGACAGTTTGACAGCTCTCATGCTTCTCAAAGCCAAGGAGCTGGAAGATGTTCATTTTCCAAATTAGAGAGGATGTTATGCATGTGTTGTTGTGATTGGTAGCAGTGATTTAGTTGATGTGTTATCTACAGCCATTTTGCTGTCCTGTACAGAGACAAAAGTACAGGTGTTGTATCAATGTAAAATACACTAGTTTACTACACATAATGTGATGTCATCATCATACATCATTATGTGAATGTTTAATGTTTAATCCTGCAGTATTTCCTACCAGCTGTCCTTCACTGCCTTTGTCTGTCTCTACTGTCGACTGTGATGTTCTCTGCGATCACATTAAAACTGTTGCACTTTTTTGTATTTTCCTTGTATTTGATGTGCGAAATGATTGGGCTTTTTGCTGAGAGAAGGGCTTGGTTTGGCTCTGGAAGGTTTCCTCTCTATGGCAACAGCGTTGTGAATGTGGAGTGGAAGAAGTGGGGGAAAGAGAGGTATGAAGTATAATCCATGGTACAGTATCTGTAATTATAGGTAGTTATCCACAATACCCGGAAGTTATCCTCATGTTTCATTATGCATTATGTACATTCAGATGATTTATATTTCAATAAATGATTTAATAGTGTCTCTTGTTTGGAAATCTGTTTCATTTTCTTTCTTGCTTTCTTTCTTTTTTCTTTTTTTGTATATGTTTGACACACACACACACACACACGCACACACACACCATTCTCCATGATAAAAACTGGTCAAACTAAACAAGACCTTTTTATAGAGGGGTATGTATAGTTATGGTTTGGTAGGTAAGAGAAGGGGTCAAGGGTTAGTTTACCTGGCTGGCGTCACTTCCGATTTTGTAACGGCTAGCGGCCAGTTGTGCAATTTCTTTCTAACTCAGAAACCGATAAGTGGTCGAGGAGAGCGTCAATTCGTTAGTAGGCGAACGGAGGAGTATGCTTGCCTCATCGTGACCTACTTTGAGAGAAGATGCACAAGAGTATGTTGTTTTCTCGAAAACAGTCTGGGGGCTTCTCGAGTGGCGCAATGTTCTAAGGCACTGTGCCACTAGAGATCCTAGTTCGAGTCCAGGCTCTGGACGCGGTGCACAATTGGCCCAGCGTCGTCCAGGTTAGGGGAGGGCACTAGTGACTCCTGTTGCGGGCCGGGCGCAGTGCACGCTGACACGGTCGCCAGGTGTACAGTGTTTCCTCTGACACATTGGTGCGGCTGGCGTCTGGGTTAAGCGGGCATTGTGACAAAAAGCAGTGCGGTTGGCTGGGTTGTGTTTCGGAGGATGCACGGCTCTCGACCTTCGCCTCTCCCGAGTCCGTATGGGAGTTGCAGCGATGGGACAAGACTGTAACTATCAATTGGGGAGAAAAAGGGGTAAAAAACAACAGTCCGCTACTTAACCTTTTATCTATAAAATGTATTGCACAACTAGCTCCATTTGTTTTTATCACTTTACACATTTAATTTGGGATTCCACCCTGTAAACGTAATTTGCCTAATGAAGCACATTTGTCTCCACGTTTCCTCTCTTCGCCTCCTATACTAATACAAATTATAGACTACTAGGGCTACAACCAACACACAATTCTGGTGTATCTGACATTGATTAATAGCCCTGTAGTGTTGTCACTCCACCCCACAATAAACCACCGTGGCACACTTTCATAAACAGAATAACTACACTGAGTGCAGTCTCAAAGAAGGCCACTAGGTTGCATGATAATCCCACTATAGAGTGCAGGGATAAAATCCATAGTTATAGTCATGCAGATTATGTATAAATGCATGATTTGTGAAGAAACATTTTTTAGTCATTTTTTGGGGGTCATTTTTGTATTGTTTATTTATCAAAATAATATTTCCAGCTATCGGGATTAACACCAAAGATTTTTTATAACTAACCCAAGATAAACCACAGCCTGTGATTTCCAATGGGAGCAAATTAATCAAAGTGAAGCAAGGAGGTGGGCAGAGCCAAGCACGAGCTAGCGAGATCCTATTGGCGCATTCTAGCATGTATTTGCATTTCTGTTAGGGGACGCCTACTATGTGAAGTGTGGTCCTCTGTAGCTCAGCTGGTAGAGCACGGCACTTGTAACGCCAAGGTAGTGGGTTCGATCCCCGGGACCACCCATACACAAAAATGTATGCACGCATGACTGTAAGTTGCTTTGGATAAAAGCGTCTGCTAAATGGCATATTATTATTATTATTATTATAAGTGCGCGTGTGCAATAACTAAATTCGCCCTTGCACTCCTAAACAACGCAGTCCACTCTGTTCGTAACAGATTCTAGTTTTGGGAACAGAAAACTGTATTGAGATCAAATGTTTAATTGTTGAGAAAATTTGCAGAATGTCGGCCAAAATCCATCTAACTCCATCTTCTCCCACTACCGGCCACTGGGCTTCCTCTCATCACCATATTTGGTTGTGAGTGGAAACGCCAACCGGATGCTTTAGATTTATATCCTCTCATACCCATATTTGGTGGTGAGCAGAAATGCCAACCGGATGCTTCAGATTTCTACATCCGGTGAAACATCTGGCTCATTGTTCTATCTGTGTTAAAACTATATATAATGTGTGAAGATCAAGTAACTCCACCAGAGGGAGACATTACATAAATCATTGTTAGATACAAAAAGCATCTCCAGTTTTACGCTTGAGAACCAGGGGCCTCATTTAAAAATATATTTTCTTAACTAACTGTCAGCGAATTATCAGTTCTTGGAAAGGAGAAACCTAATTCATAAAATGTCTGTTGCGTCTCTGATGTGTGTGTGGTATATTTGTTTTGCCCCCCAAAAAGAATAGTTTTGAACTTTTGAACATCTCCATAATGTTTACGTTTATGTTGTGAAGATTCCTCAGGTGCAAAAGCTGATTTGCTTGGAGCAATATATACATATTTTTCAATCGCTTTGGTGCAATTTTCATAAGTATGTGGTACATTTTCTAAACGCTTAGTACAAAACTCAAAACAGATCATCAAAAAGGCATCAAAACTCTAAGCACATTTTCAATTGACTAAGTACAACACACAAAATCATACAATCACTTTTTCACCAAACTTAATCAGTGTTTCATCTAGAAATACATGTTTCACATTGCAATACATGTTCATATAAAGTAATTACTTATCAAAATGCAATGCTCACATTGCTTTTGATATGATTGTCTTCTCATTTGTTAAAATACATTTGACTATTACTTAAAGATGCACTATGCAGAAATCGCTCCGCCATTTCCTGGTTGCAAAAATTCTAATAATTTGCCTAATTTCAGTTTATGTGACAAAAACAAGCAAGTATAGTGCAGAGAATCATTGTACCATCTAAACCGATGTGAAATATATTTTCCATAACCAAAAACATTGTATTTTCAGCTGTTTGAAGCTGGTGTACAAAACCGAAAGTAAAAGACGCAAAAACGAAACGTAAGCATGGGAAGCATAGAAATAGCACACATAGAACATATCTACTGCTTCATAGACTTGCTTTCAATGAGAATGACAGATCTGTAACACATATTTCTATGTGAATTTTGTCTGGTTGCCCAAAAAGATACATATTGCCGCTTTAATCGGACTGCTCTTAACTGATAATCACTTAACAGTTTGGTAAACCTATAGATTTGACATCGGTTTGTCTACTACGGATTTTGAGAACTACATGAAAATGAATGCTTGTAAAGTATAAATATATAAAGTATGATATATATGGTAATGTACTATTATGATGATGACTATTATGATTTTACTTCACAGTAGGTAAAAAAATATCTGATAGTGACAAGATCAGAGATGTACTGTATGTAACAAATGCATCCCCTATACAGTAAACATTTATCCAAAATGAACTTGCTGGGGTCTTTTTGAGACCTTTATTAAAATTGCATTGGCCAATACAGTACTATAATACCT